GCCTTCCCCTGATTATAATTAGATTGTTGTATCTGAATAATACAGGCAGTGTCCAAGAAATTATCTTGTGTGCTCAATAAAAAATTGACATCAAGACCTCAGCAATACTGTTATTGCTGAACAATATGGGTAATTCTATACCCATGAAATGACATTTTTGGAACATTTTGAAGCTAATTCCTTGCTTGAAGTAATAAAATGCCCAAGTTCAATGAAACTGATGTCAAGCAGGCCTCAGTATAGAAGAGGCACTTGTCAAAACCACAATTGAATACAACTTGTCAAATGCACTTATTGTCAAAACACATTTATAAGAAAATATGCCTGACATTTAAAAGACCCATGGAACATCCCCTCATATCATTTCACAAATATGTGGAGAAATCATTTTTTCTCACATCAAGTCACCTGCTACACCACTTCCTGCATAAGGGATTTATTCCCAATTCTTGAAGTCACTCATGCGCAACCACAGGAGAGAGTGTTGGGTGCAGGGCATGAGGGGATGGGGGACGCAGTGGCAAAGAGTTTGGACGACCAAGAGTTCTGCTCCAGCAAGATGGGGCCTCACCTTGTCACCAACCCAGCAGGGGCTTACATCCCTCTATAAACAACATATAGTAAGGCATTACGATGACTTACAAGAGCAACATCTGGTTGTATCATGTTTGACTAGTCACTCTTCCCAACTGCTTAGTTACACCTATCTCTAGATCAGCAGCACGATGGAGAGGAGCGACTGAGAGCAGCACGAGGAAGGCATTCTGTTCTCAGACCTCGACTTGTACAGTCCTTTTAACCTTTTAATCCTGACTCAGTGTTTGTGTTGTGACGTCGTTGAAATAAATTTGTACTTCAAGCCGTGATCGAAGATTTATTCCCCAAAACTCTTACTGGGGGCTCGTCCGTTAAACTTGGACCTGTGATCAATCACGAGCTGTACCCGACGTCACGAAAATGAAACGCAACACCAACAATTCCAAAGCCGCGGCGGAAGCCGCGATGGGTGATGCCGAAGAATTCCATTCCGATTCCGAATCTGAGACGGGCGAAGCGGGCGCTGCGTCCAAAAGACCAGGCAGCAAAGCCTCCGATGCATCCAGCGTCTGGGAAAGTCTTCCAATCGCCACGTTGCAGCTCCTCGTTGACACCTATTGCCTGGGCAGACCTACCCGCAACTCCAAAGCGGAATACGCAGCGCAGCTAGACAGATTCCAAATCCCTGTCACAGCCTTACAAGCCCTGCCACATCCCCCTGGCATAGCTCCTTCTTGTGAGCTGGCAACAATCGCCAAAGACCCACAGCAGATCCCCATCCTTCCGCCGAAGTGGTTCGCCAACCTGCACAGTCCGGACCTGCCGAAGCAGAACAAGAATGAGGCCTTCGAAGACTACGTCATCCGTCTTTGCAACCTCCCGGCCGTTGACAACATCACCGAGGTACACCTGATCCATTGCTTGCTGCAGAACACCTTGCCGCACATCCAGAGCATGGCGAACCGGCACCACAAGAGGGGAACCACCGACTTCAATCAACTCGTTGAGGTGATCACCCAAAGACACCCCACGCCTCATCTGGACCGCCTCGAAACCTTCCGCTGCATGAAACCGGAGTCCGACGAGTCCTACTTCAGCTTCGCCGAACGCATGCGGGACCAGTACGAAGCATTCCTCCGCTTCCCTCCAAACCTGCTCAAAATGGGAGAACCGTTCCTGCAGCAGATCTTCATGGAGCAGTTGTTCTTCATCTCAGACGGCGGCCTGAAGGACGAACTGCAAAAGAAGTGGCTCCGGCAACCTACGATGACCTGGGATGACATGGTCGAGATTGCCAAATTGTATCGACTCAACCACCGCGTCCAAAACTCATCATCGTCAGGTACCGTGAAAAACAACTTCAGACACCGATCATCGCTACCACCTCGCCAATGGTGCCAGCATCACGGTTGTTATATGCGGCACGGCAGCCACAAGTGCCGATTACGCCCCAGTTCAAATGCTACATCGCGAAACGAAAACCCAGCTTCAAGTTCCGCGGCTCCCCAGACAAATATGAATACGACGCGTTCCAATAATGACTCAGGTGCTTCTCTTTGTTTTCATTGCCAGAAACCTGGCCATTTTTTAAAAGATTGTCCGCAGATCCAGGGAAATGCCAAAACTGCACAGTGAATGCGGCGCACTGTGCTTCCTTGGAACTCTCAGCCGCACCTCCTCCTATTGTGCTTCAGCTTAGCATCTCAGGTCAGAATTTCTCCGCGCTCCTGGATACCGGAGCATCGCATTCATTTATATCAGCCGATCTTGTGAGCTTACATCCCTCTATAAACAACATATACAGTAAAACTATACACTGTATATATATATATATATATATATTTGGTTTTGTTTTTGTACCTCCCGCAAGTCAGCATCCTGGCAGTCCCCATTGGGGAATTCTAGAATCCTTCAGCACCTCGTTTATCCCTCTATATACCAACACCTAGCTTGGAATTCAGAACGAATCCTCGATCAACTGACAGAATTGGAGCGCCTAAAACATTATGCACGCATATGCTGTACGTCTTTGATAAACCTTTCACATTATACTGCATTTTATATGACAATCACATCGAATACCATTCATGTCAAAAATTATGGTTTTGCACTTGAGTATACAGTATGCAGTAATAGTTTTTTAAGAATGTAAGCCATATTTAATTTTATACAGGATTGTCCGATAAATTATCGGGGTGTTCAGCGAATATCAAACATCTTCCTGGGATGATACTAACGCACATACGAAGTCGTATCAGCATGCATTTCACTGCATTTATAATCGGATTTTTTTACTGTCCGACAGAAGAACAGATTTAGTCATACAGTAATTTGACTAGTCAATTTACTTTTTACATACAGTCGAGTTCGCAGTGCGCTTGCTACTACGAAGTGAATTGGAGGTGGAACTTACGATGAAAAGAAGCAATTAAAGTCTGCTTTAATTTGTTGCTCATGCATTAACAGGGTAGAAAATCGTGACTTTTCGGCAAGATTTCCATCTCTGCCATTTCCCTGCGAAAGTTTCCAGATTATTTCGGTGCTTCACATGAAATCTTCATATCAGCCCTTTACAGAGCTATAACCAGTTTTCAAGAAACAAGCGAAGTATAGAAGATGTTTGCATGATCGACCAACCTTTTCTATAAAAAAGAATCATACGAAAGGCACTAAGATTTCCCAACGAGCAAAGTTTTTGGCTACTTATCAAACCAATGAAGAGAAAAGGAACACATTCTAAAGCCTTCTCATTAAACCTCTTTCACTCTCTGAGGAGCTTTTGAATACATTCAATTTTCCCAGGCATGTGTACACTGCACCTCTTTTTACGTTTAAAAGTCTGTTTTACAGATTTTTTCGACTCTCATTTCCTGCTACGACCTTTGACTTACACCCAATCCATGATTCGAGCCTCGACCTCCGTACCATAGACAGAAGAACACAAGCCCATGAGGAGATGTAAGAAAATGACCCATTCTACACGGTTAGTATTAATTTGTTTAAATTAAATTTGTTCGTATCTGTTACGCAGCAGCCGGTCAAATTATTCAATTAAAATTTAGAACACTTCACATCACTTCAGGGAATACACTTCCTTCAAAATGCACTGAATTGGGTAAGAACGGAATCCCCGAAAGCTTAAAAATAAGGTTGATATTTTGTGTATCACGTAGAGCAGTCAGTTTTATTTTCGACCACTGGTCTCCGATCAAATTCTTTTCCTTTTCATCAGCTTGGCTTTTTGTTTAATGCCTTTCAAGGCACCAGAACGGGCTCCACCAACGACGCTCTTGAACTTGCCCTTGTGTTTCGCCGCTTTCCTGTGGAAAGCAAGATAAATTTCAATGCTTCTCATTTCTTTTTTTTTAATAAGGTAAAACATACCGCTTGTTCAAAGCATCACGTGCTAATGGGAAATATGCGTAAGGATCCGGCAGACCTTTTCGTTTCACGTCACCCATGCCCTTCTTTCCTTTGTATTCCGAACCAAGATAAGGCTCAGGAGCTGTTTTCTTTACTTTCTTCGTTCGCCGATGTATACCGACTGATGTCCGCGTCGACGCTGGAATTTAAAACTTGACCCATCAGCGATACGAATTGCCACATTGACGCAAGTACCGAACTCGGATTTTCACACGCAATAAACTTTACGGTCTTCGTATTAACCCAAATGACCCGAATTCCATGATTGTGTTCGAGATTTGACAGGCGTCACTTGAATTTAGTTACTTCTGGTATACTGTACTTACAAAATAAACATTACAACAAGCGAAGTTGGCGATGAGCGCAGAGAAGCACTCGCAGATTTTATGGTAAAAATTACGCTTTGTGTCTTCAACGCGGACGCGGGATTCAAGCTTAAATACAATTATGCAAATGTCCGGTGCGGAACGAGGTGGCAACCGACTGTATCTACAGCACCACTCAGAAAAGCACCATCACTATAGGATGCATAGCTTGCAGAAAAGATGATACTTCAATCTTTTTCCACACAGTTCGCCAGCATCCAATACGATAACTGATAATCCAAGGTTTTGATTCACACCTGAGGCGACAGATTTATCGTCATCATCGCCGAAATCTCGCAGCTCGTCTTCCCCGTCGAAAGTTTCACGCAAAGTAGTGCTCTTCGATTTCGAGTCGATTCCTGGTGGAGTTGAAAGAACAAGAGAACAGTTACTATACACCGTGGTGTTTTGATGGCGAGAATATTTCGCGCGCAATAATAATAGCTACAGAAAGCTTACCAGAGAGAATGCCCGACCGTGAGGCAGTCATTTTCCGCTTTTTGCCTCTTAGATTTTCACTGTCCACATCTTCGTCACTGTCATCTATTATCAAACGCCCATCGGTTGACAAAGCAAAGTTATCCTTAGTTTTCTTTGGTTTTTTGCTTTTCTTCTCATCGGGGTCGGCCGCTTCATATAGGCAAAATGTCAAACGAAAAGAACATTAGAACAGAGAAAATACTAGCAGATATGTTTTCAAAAACCTAAGATATGTCGTGAGGCCGAAGCGTCCAAAAGATCAACGATTTGTTCATCTGGGTTCTCATGGATCCAAGCTTTCCCCATCAAATCCTGTTTGGATTTTCTTGATGCCTTTCTTTTCCGATCGCCTCCGCCACCTTCGGCGTCACTCGGCATCGAATCGTCATCCGAAAAGTTGGCTAAAATTTCTGCAATGCTGTTGAATCAGAGTAGAATAAAAAAACCATAAATTTATTACAAACTCCATTCATCCTGAAGTATTTTGAAATCAAGAGACGAAAACAATGCAGTGCGGATTGCGGAAATACCTTTTCGCCTTATCCACGCCTTTGGACACGGAGCCGACACTGCGAGCCAAAGACAATCGACTTCTACTTTTGGAAGTCATCGTGTCAATCTCAGCGTCACTATCAATTTCTTCTCCGCTATCTGCATCGGGTCGTTCGGCACGCTTGCGTTTCTCCTTCGCCAAAGCTCGACGAATATTTTTTAGCCTTTTGTCAAGAACTGGATCATTTTTAGCCCCTGAGAGTCCGATTACCTGGCAAAAAGAAGTGTGGAAATGGACGCGATAAAACAAACTGCTGAAAAGCAATTCACTCCAACTCACCGTCTTTTCGCCAAATTTGTTGATCAGTTTCCCGTACAGCTTGCGACTGTCAGCTCGTGTGTAACGTTTGCAATCATCCACGATCTTCGACATAGCACTCAACTAAAAATTATGAAAATTAAAATTCATCGATGTTAACGCGATACACAAATGATGAAGTATGTCTTCATCATATACTGGGATTTTTCTCACGCTAAGAATTCCAAGGTTTCAATATTAAGCTCGTTAACTCACGTAAATTGCCAAGTTTTGTGCCTTTAAAAATGAAAATGTAAACTCACGATTTTAGCCAGATGAATGACCATTGTTCCCGGAGGATATGATTTGAATAAAACCCTGAAAAATGACAGCGCTGCTCCCACTATTTCTCTCGAAGCAGTGGTTATTAGAAGACAGGCGTTGTCAATCAAAGGTTCAAGGTTGTCCGCGGGGAAACACTCTATATAAATTGAAACCGAAATGCAAATATTTAGCTATGATGAAGATCGACCAATAAACACAGAATCTCACCGTTCATGGTATAGCACACGTGACCCAGAGCAAGCAGTGAGCAAGCTATCATTTGAGGCGTCCCGGCCAATCCAGCAAGTAAATATCCCAACAGGCCTTTCACAGCTTCTTCGTCACTGCATTTTAATCTCAACTGTTGAGAAAATAAAATTATTTGGGTTCATCAAAAATTCAGAATCTCGGCCAGAATACGAGGGATTTGAGCCAATCATCTTAAATGATATTCAGGACTTCGGCTGCATGCCTATTCAAAGATCATGTATGTGTTGAATCTCCTTTCCTTCCAAGATTGAGACGCCCTTTCAACTCTGTCTGATCTGCAGTTCAATCTGAATGAGCAACCATTTCAACTCTAGTCATCGAATGATCCATTATTACTCCATATCCATCCATGGGATTCAAAGACTGACAAAACATAATGAACCAGCCCTCGTATCATGGCCACAAAAAAAAAACCTTCAAACTAACCTTCAAGAATGTCGTGGCTTTTACGACGACATCAAACGCCGCAGCTCTGGTGGCTTTTTTTGAGTCACGAATGCAAAGCAGAGCCTCACCGATCGCCGCGGTCAAGAAATCTTTATCTTCCTCATTAAAGGCTGCATTAGATTCCACATCATCCGACAATTCCATCTCCATCAGCCGAGCGACGCACTTCAAACGAGCAGACTTGCCAATCGGCGTGCTTTTGGACAAAGCAACTACGATCGTGTTCACAATATCTGAACGCCGCTCAGTCACCAATTTCCGTTCCAGCGCAGACTCTCCACGACACAAGGTGTCCAAAATTCGGTAACCTTTCTTCTGCGACTTCAGGCCCTCTGACTTGGCGCTCAATTCCAACGCATGATTCAACAATCGCTCCAGAATATCCCGACCTTCGGCCGAATCCGGGATATGTGGAGCTAATGCAATACACAAGTCATACACTATTGCTTTGCGCTTCTCGTCCTCAGCTTCTCGTAACACTTCAGCAAGGGCTTTTTCGCTCAAGCCACAAATCACGCTTTCTTTTGCTATAGCAGTAAATGCCTTGATGGCATTTAGCAATCGATCGCGGATGTCGACTGATGTATTGGGTTCAAGAACTTTGACGAAGAATAGCGGAAGGAAGTTCTTCGCATAAACTGCAACGGCAGTTATATCAGAACCACCGTTACGAGCAGCAAACTCAGCTATGTTCTTGAGGCCGGAAACAATCGGTGTGATGAGGTCAGGCCGGGTTTTGAGACGAGTTCCAAGCGTTTGAGCAATTTTTGGAAATGACGTCGAAACATCCTTCGCACTGTTACAAAAGCCCGGGAACAAAGACCATACCTGAAATAATGCCAACAATTTTACTACTCAAAGGATCGCCAAAATTGGTTCGAACTCTTTAAAATGATGAGTACAATTCGGGAAGGGTGCCAACTTGAACGCCATGATTTTCTTCTTAATATCATCAAGTATTGGATAGATATCGCCTGCGACATTTCTCAGTTCGTTATTTCGTAGTTGGGCTTGAATTCATTTGGTCAAGATGATTCAAGTTAGACTATGCTTGTGATTAGACCCACGAGGATATGATTATTTTGGGGGTTATCGATTTCGGCAGCCACTGCCTGAAATTTTCAACAGCAAGGACGGCGTTGGAATTTCAAGAACGGTGGGGAACACGACGCGTGCATCCGGTCAAGATTAATACACGGGGAGTCCGTCTTCAGCAAGATTCTGAAATTTTCTTTTTGACTGAAGCTTTGGCACAGGAGACGCTTACCTGTTCGCATAGCACACCATAAACCTTCTTGTCCGAAATAGGACTTCTGGGGATCGCACCTTGCGATCGCGCATAGAAAATTTCGGCAAGCGGGATGAAATAAGCCGTGAAATATTCCAGTTCGCAAGGACATCCAACAACCAAGTTATCACGCAGAACAGGAAGTATCCAACTGCGATCCAGTCCTTTCCCAAACGGTTCCCTCCCGGTAATCTGCAGATGAATTAGGTACATAGTCAAGTTTTCTTCGCTCCTGCTTTTGTGTCCAACGAATCACATGAGTTTGGCTTTTTTCTGATGATCAGAATACAATAACTGTTATATCTAATTTTTTAAAGCCGAATTCACTTGACCTGAAGTGTATTTGTTCGACTTAGCTGACACATAAAAACAAATAAATTACACAAGCGCAAGAATCATCGATTTGAATAACAAAAACCCCGCGACGGTAAAACAAACTAACCTCAAGCGGATAACCAGACAAGAACAATTTTGGCCCCAAAACTCGTACGGCATTGCCAAGAGCATTCCCCAAAGCTGTGCGGGTTCCGGTTGAAACTTCGGGCCCACCACGTTCCTCAACTTCGAAAGAAGTCCGCATTTCACCGAGTTGACACAGTCCTAGTCGTGTAATGTCGATACATGCAGATCCACACGTCTGAAATGCGAAGAAATCAAAAATCGAATGATACTGTTCCATTCCAAAATTACCCAACAGATCAGAAGACAATTGGAATACCATAGTACCTCAAAAAACTGTGACCAAAGTTGAAAAACCAGAGGCCAGGCTTTGTAAGCCTGGAATTTCAAACCGTCCGTGAGACAAGTTTCCAGGGTTCCTAGGATAGATTCAGATTTTCCCCGCGTTTCCAACTCTTTAATGAGTTTTTCAATGGACGGTTGGATCGCCCGTTTCAGCAAACCGCTGAACGCACAACTTGCGGCCACAGTGATCTAAAAAAAATCTTACTTCACAACCAAATTCGTTACAGCCCAGCATTCGATCGCTTGATTTTAAAATCGACTTCAGCAAAATTGTCATTACTTCTACTGTTACATTCGTTCTTTTTTCCATTCACTCACCGGATGATTATCGGTTGTCCAACAACTGCTCATAAAGGGCAAAAACTTGTGCAGATGTTTGAACGCCAAGTCTTCGTCAAGTCTGCAGAAGACAAATAAGAAAATGAGATCGGCAAGTATTCACGCTTGCAAGAAAAGATTAGCAGATTCAACAAAAAAGGTCCAGTGACGCTCAGACCTTCACTATTTATACGATGAAGTGAACTACTGTAAGTATTTTTGAATTCTAGGAGACTTTTTCTCTCGGTTATCGGGCAACGTACTTGTGAAGAGTCAAAATCCCTTGCTTCACCAAAGTTAACCACGGAGGAAGCAATACAGCATCTGTTCCTGACGGTTTCACATCCCACACGGCAACCAGAAGTTGACCCAATGTTTTGGCACTGAACGGAACTTCCAGATCGCTTTCCGACACGAAATCCTTCAGCACTTCAACACACAATTTCTTCACAACGACGTTATTCAATGACATCAGTTGCACGATCAGCTCACAGATAGACTAAAAATCGGAACATGAGTTATTCGTCGATTCGAAAGAAAAAACACGAAGCCATTAATACCTTCAGAGCGCCGGGGGGAAAACATCGCAGCGTTCGTCTACAAAATTCCAACACGTGCAGCGTCGACGTCAAGTTGGCGTTTGGATCGCTGATGCCTTCTTCAAGACGAAATTTTACGAATTTTGCGGCTGCGTTTCCCAACGGACCAGTACCAGAACTCGGTTTACTTTCTGTTTTTCCAGCGGTGATGATCAAAATTTCGGCTACTTGATGTTGAGCCGCTTTCCTAACCTTCAAACACAAGTTTTTGACTCGAAAAAAAAAAACGCTACAGTTGATTCAAATACTGTACTCACTTTCGGCTTCGGATGTATGATGAACGCAAGAAGGGGTGCAAAGAGTTCTACGCATGCACTCGATTCCAGGATGTTAGCTTCTTGGTTTCGCAGTAGAACGGCAAGACACGTTATGGCCTGGAATTAAATTTAATTTGGGGATATATGTAGATTCAAGGCTTTAAGGTGACTGAAATACGTTCGATCACTCACCCCACGTAGAAGAGAAGTCGACTGTGACCCGGCGTGTTTAGAAAGAACCTTAAGAAAAACCTTTGAGAAAACCTCGAATTTGTTTTGCAAGAACTCCTGTCTGATGTTCTTCAACAGCATGACGGAAAAGGGGGCAATAGCGGCCAGCGTACCCTCATCTTCGATCACATCGAACGCCGTGACTAGCGTGCAAAAATATTCCGTGTCGCTCTCTTCGCCATTTCGGTCTCGTATAACTTCTGTTGCGGCTTCAAGCAAAGCCAACATTTCTCTGTGATTCTCGGACGTCGGCTGAAAGTTCTTCAAAAATCTAAAAGAAAGGAACACCACAAGGTTCAATTCTTCCATGCCAATAAGCAGGCACGGAAAACACTTCGCGTAATTTTACTGATGATTTTACACATTAATTGACCCACATACACGCAAATATCCAAGGCAGTCGAGAATATAAAATTATAAATCCTAACATAATCCACACAACTTCAACTGTTCGGTGCCTGGGGAATGAATTTCCTTAATGACGTCTCAAAATAAATTATTATTGCACATTAGATTTAAGGTGAAAAATCAAACTCCGATTCGCACCTTACCAGAGTTACCACTTTTATGCGCAGAATGGTTATCAACGAGATGATACCAGGATTCCTTCCTTTACTTTGAAGCTTTCCAATTTTTTTTTGGGGAGATCAATTCCTTATCTGCACGTTCATAACAACGACCAAAATTCACATTTTCACAGATAAATCAAGAATTCGCCATGTCGTTTCCAACATTGACAATCACTTGTTGCGAGATATTTCTCCCAACAGTACTTCCAAGATATAAATTTTAAGACATGTAAAACCTATTGAATGTGACGTTCGACGTTTGCGACCAGTCACTTGCGAAGGTAGCCGCGGTATATCTCGTTCGTCCACCAAGACTCTGCACAGATTTCGTAGCAACAGAAGGCGCAGTAGACATGATCGATTTCCCATCATTCAACGATAAGAGGTCCAATTGTAAACCTTCCACGCTCGCTGTCGTGTCTGCAAGACCAGGAATAAGCCATAGTTAGTTGCAATAGTAAATAACCAATGGAAAAGGATTCTTACTTGGCCTCCGCGTTTCTTCAACGAATCCATCGGTAAAATCTGTCACGCGGCTACGAAATTTCCGCGTTTCTGGATTAGAACTGCTGCTTTGACCTTTTGCCCATCTCTTGCCTTTCTTGCGGCCCTTCACGCGCGCAGTAACGCGTCCCATCACAACTCACTAATGCAAAACACTCTCCTAATACCAGGGCAGTTCAGAAAGGGCATTCTAGTGTCAAATTATTCAAAAGAAAAAATAAATGAATAACCGGGTAGTTGCTATCGTCCCGTAGACGAATTTATCGAATGAACAAAACACAAATATACAAACAACGAAAGAGAAAACACGACTCCGTGGAGGCGCATTTTTACTGCTTCAAAGAGAAGTACAGGGCATCGCGTATCTTCTTTTTGTCCAAATTCAATCTCTGCAATATCTGAGCTATGATCAAAACCAGTTGATCTGAAGGAATCCCAGTTTTTTTTGTCTTGAATTTCTGCAGAAGTTCTTTGGCGGTCATCGGCTTTCTCGACAGGTAACGCTTTACGCCTTCCTCCGTAATACCAGCTTCACTGAAAGATCGAAACATCTTATTTTAATCATGTTTTCAAAATATTCAACAATCTTAAATGAAAAATCGGCATTCTCGCGGTCACGTATCAAAAATCATGATTGCCGGAGTCTGAGCTATAAATTGGATAGCTTATATTTTCACAGCAAGTTCTGTGAATTCAAAGTGGCTTAATCTTAAGTGAACATCTGGGTACGCACTTGGCTGCTTGAATAGCAGCAGCGGGAAGGTAAACACCAGGTGCAGGCTTGTCATGTGCATCAGACTTAAGCTTTTTCATGGTTTGTTGTCCCGCGGAATCTTCTGCTTTGCGCTTCTCAGGCCGGGATCCATTTTCAACTGGAGCAGGAGGAGAACCACTTCTCGAATTGCTTTCGCTAGCACTACCAAACGAAAGTTGAAAAAAAAATCCACCAAAGAATTTCACATCGATGTGGGCAGAATGAGCCAGAAGGACGCAATTGTTTGAAGGGGATTCTTAAAAAAAAATTAAAAAATCAACTGAAAACAATCCCCCCTGCAAGCCGTTTCAATGCATCGCGTCAACTACAAATTAACTTGAAGAATTCCACGTCTTGCCCATTTATAAAGCTAACCTGTTTGATCCTTTGCCTTTTTTCTTTCCCGTGAAGAAGACGCTGGACTCCAAGTCTATCTCAGATTCAGATATGTCAGAGCTATCCGCAGAACTTTCCCGGCTAGTAGCAGCTGGAAAAAAATTTTCAACATACACACAGAACGTTGTCAAGTTTCGAAATTTCAAGATCACATATTTCTCATGCTCGCGTCGGCTCACCATTCTTCTCTGATTCCTTCTTCTTTTTCTTTTTCTTCTTGGGCGTGTTGGAACTAGATGACGGTTCCCCTCCCGGTTTGGGAATATTTTTTTGTTCTTCGTTCCCAGTATCTTTAGAATCTTTTTCCTCATCTTCTCCTTCTTTCTCCTCCTTATTTTCTTCTTCGTTTTCTTCATCTGAATCAGAATCCAGTACTTTACGAATGGCATCTTCCTCGTCGACACCTTTCTCCTCTCTTTTGGTTTCAAGCTCATCCTCACTGTTGCCATAGAATAAAAAACAAAAACCACTATGACGCTTTTGACGCACAATTTTAAATAAAGCAATAGCTTGATTTTTTGACCCGATGGCTGCGAAAAGATCAATTTAATCCAGGAAACTATTCATGAGCCAACCTGGCAGATGATTCTGAATCATAATCCAGTTCACGGCCTTCTTCATCGCCGTCATCTGATTCTTCTTCAGCTTCGGAATCGACTTCCTTTTTCGGTTTCTTTGCCTTAGCTTTAGCTCCTTTCTTCCCTGAAAACATGGCGGTCATTAATGAAGCCCAGACGCGTACAATCTAATTATAGAGGACCTTTTTTGGACCTATCGTCATCACTGTCATTCTTCTTATCTTTCTTTTTTGAAGAACCATCTTCGTCACTGTCGGAATCGGATTCTTCGCCGGATTCTATCCACTCGTCCATCTCTGAAATTTTCAGCGAGTTTTGTTTCGCATCCCCCTTTCCTTTGCCGGACTTTTTCCCATCCTCTTCGTTTCCTTTCAGACCGGAATCGTCTTCATCAGTCTTGATCTTCTTCTTCACCATCACAGAGAAAAAATTCATAATTTTATTGCGTCTAAAAAGATTAAAAAATTATCAATTATCGTTCCAAACACCAGAGGGATCGAAAATTGTACCTCCCGAATTCGACTTCGGCTTCTTCGGCTGTGAGCGCCTTGAAACGTTGGATCGGTGTAAAATTGTACCAATGCTTGATTGGATACGCCTCGAATGATCCGTCGTTTCCTTGCATGAACACGTAATACGATGCATTCTCTGTCACTCCCCCCTCCCGTAAACCTTTGAATCTAAACAATCAAAAAATGTAATCGTACCAAAGTACACGTCAGAACGCAACCTCGGAAACTCACTTCTTTCCCGCCTTTCCGCCGATTTTCATTAGCCAAGGTTGATCTTCGGCAGAATATTTTTTCTTGGATCTGCCATATTTGCGTCTCCTTGCTTCATCTCTTGCATCTTTTCCGTACTCACTACCAGCTCCATATCTTAAACGATTCCAGAATAGTAGTCAATTTCCGATTGATCCAACGACGCTCGCAGCACTCACTTTGGCATGTCGTCATCAATTTTGAATTCTTTGATGTTATTTTCTCTGACCATGTTCACTTTGGTCCATTGGCCGACATCGATGTTCAGATTAGCATTGAACTTCATTGCGTGGTACGACCGACTCACATCCTTCCTGAAAATGGCGTTGCATTTTATTCTTCACTCTTGGCAAAAAAAAAATCGTCTTTACGTACTTCGGAACCCGGACAACGTATTCGACTGTTGTATGTCCCGGTCGCGCCTAAAAAAGAGGAAATTCGGATTTTAAATCTTAAAAAAAAGTCAATGTCAAGAGTTAGAAGTCGAGGCTTACACTGGATTGCTCTCCTCTCGCGGCTTGCGGCGGAACACCCCTGACGGCACCGTTCTCCCTTGACCAACCAGATCCAGGTGGTTGAGGACGTTGCATTTCGAAAAACGCGAAAAGCTTGATAAGTACCTCACTCAATTTGATACACTCTAAAATCACAGATATTCACCACAATTCCTTCTGAAAAATAAAAACTATCAAGAAAAGGAGACAAGTTGGTGGAACATGAATAAATGGCTTAGAATTCACAAAAGGTCTTGAATTTTGCACCTTCGATAAGCTCTTTCGTCATTTAATGAAACGACGATTCCCTTTCACGATCATACACTGCTTTAAAGTTTCCTGGCAATCGTTAAATTCCGCAGACGGACGAACGATGACGTCGTGCAAAAACCGCAAGTAATCAACCAGAAATGCCATACATTCATCAATGCATTCATTCGACACGACCTTCGCGTAAAAACGCGCGTAGTTACTTTTCATTACCTCCACTGTGGACCACAACGTCGAAAGATCTTCTTTACAACTCTGACACGAAGGAATCTTATTGTTCAACGACTTTGTACCACATTTCGGACACTTGTAACGATCTCCTGTTCTCCACAAAGCATCGTAGATCGGCCAGTCGTGTAAACATGGCGGACAAGAACACTCAAAAAAATACTGCTTCTTCAGCGACATTTGGCGTTCAGCTTTCTTTGTGAGAGCGTAATGCGCACCATAATTGCAATAGATTGCTTCACCAGATTTCACAGCTTGTATTGCATAGACAACAGCAATATCACCATAATGAACACGGACAGTGCTGGGATCACATGAGTGATTTAGCAAGCTCAAAGTTGGATAAACAGCCTCGGCTATTTGAACACCTTGGGCTCCCAGCATGTCCACCGGATTCCTGATGCACAATTCGTCCACCGCATGAGCGTTGCATGGATAATTCTGCAAATGCCTCAGCATCAAACCACCGAGAAATGTCTTCAAATCGTCGTCCAGAACCTCGTTTTCGTATGCAGTTTGGCAGAGAATATCCGCTAAGATTAAGGCCATCAAAGTGCGCTTGAACAAGTCACTCGGATTCCTCTCCGAAGAATTTTTCACCAATTTATAAACATTGGAATAGTCTCCTGGATCATAAATTTCTTCCGAGATATTGAATTTGTCATTTTCACCCTTGCCAGAAGCAAGCGAAGATTTTGAGAACAATTTCCAAGCAGAAAATGTTTTCGTCAACATTGTTCTGAAAGAAAGATATGCAGTGTCACCGAATTCGTCGTCATAAATGGATTCCATCGCAAGGCACTCGATGTCGTGGAACCAGACTGATTCTGTTCGACATTTTTCCGAGCAAAATACGACCTGTAAAAGCGAACATTCGCGAATATTTCCAATGTAAAACTTAAAGCTTGTTCTCACCATGGAGCACTTAAGGCACGGAACAGGAAGATCACACCCTCGGAAGCAGTTCTGGCAATTCGACTTAAAAGCTGACGGAAGCAAGCACGACGCGTATGGCTTTTCCACCATAAGCACTTCACCTAAGAGAGGATAAATGAAAAACTTCGAACTTAACTTACTGACGAAATATGTCTGAAATATTTAATCCAACAGGCGCGATCAATCATTCAAATTAACTGATCTGAATCCAATCCCATTCTTCCCTGCATCCAATTCATCCCGTGAGCGTCTCACTCGTAACTTATCCTAGTATAGTACAGGTAAATCACCGGTCGTCGGTCGGATGCGAGAGTTGTTTCGCCTTCTAACCCAGCTGATCTTGTTCAGATAATAGTGATACGTCAGTCAATTCAAAGTTGATTTACGGCTACTCTCGTCCACAAGAGAAGTGTGACGTGAAAATGAGACCAGCGAAAAAACTCGAATGTTAACATGGTACAAACAAAATGGAAAGTGTCCTGCATCTGGAACGTATTACATCCTCTACCCGAATTGTGATTCGTCGATATGTAGGCACTCAAAAACTTTGGCAAGATCTCATTCTCGAAGGTTTTCAAAAATCAGGCTGACATGTTTACCTGGAATTATGTCACGCTTGGCAACAAAATATCTTCCACGTCCCTCAGCATATTCCACGATAATCGCACTAGAGGCAGAGGGGTACAGAGGATTCGCTTCATTCAACGAGGGAAAAACGCCATGATCTTCCGGTGCATTTGCGACATCGCCCACTTTTCCATCACCGTCAACTCCCAATTCGGCAAAACTTTCCGAGAGTTTCGAAAGCTTTGAAATCCATGAATCACTCTCAATTATATTCTTTGAAAACTTCAGACCCTTTTCGGCGATTTCTACAGCTTCGGACACTCGACCTACTTTGCTTAATATGTTCGCTTTCCGATAGTACAGTTTTGGAGACAACTCCGGGGGGTAGCCCTCCGAAAAGCTTCTCTCTATATCTTCGAGGGAATCTTGCAATCTTCCACATTCGAACAACACCGCTGACCTATTCGCATACGCTAGGGAACGTGTGTGTTTAGAGTCCGCGAATGTGACACTTTCGTTGAAGGCTTCCAACGATTTTTCCAGATCACGCTTAGAGAAGAAGATATTCCCGTTCTTCCTCGCAGATTCCGCTTTCTTCTCATCCTTTCCTCGGGTTAGGATGGGATACTTGAAATTTTTCAGCGCATCCAGTTGGACAATGAACTTGATTCGTTCTTCGTCCCCTACGAGCGCATTGAAAGTCCGTGATATCTCTAGGGCATTGGAAGCAACACTCGGATGCCCCAAAATGTTCTTATAAACGCGTGAAAATGTGGTAGATTCCATGTTCCTATATTGAATCAAAATTTGTACGTAACCGTCACTTGCGAAGCTTCACATCATCAGCTGAAAGTCACACAGTTCACACTTTCACAGGTACCTTCAGCACTACGCAAAATCCGCGGATTCACGGTAGGCGTAACCGCGAAATTATTTCCGACAAGGACACTTCCACGGTCGTTCTTCGTCTAGTGTCTGAAGGAATCAATTTTTATTCATTTGTCAACCCTAGCGAAGTAGTCGTCCTCATGAGGGGAAGAAATCACACTTCGCTCGAGTAAGATCAATCCACCTCTCGTGTACAAGTGCCCACCTTTCTTTCAAGATTTCCGGGCAATGCGCGGGGTGGTGTGGAGCGGCGATTGCACACAGTGAACCACAGCCGTCGAAGCAATGGATGCTACCTTGCCTTGATTTGTGTTCACCGCCGCCGTTCAATAATCCCATCCATAAAATGTGGCAGCGAAGACACCAAGTCTTCTGCTTTGCCTTTACCCAGGAACCATTCACTCTTGCTGGAATTCCACTGCTGGAGGCAAAATCAAGTGACGAATTAAACGCTGACCAGCAGTCTGTTCTCGAGTATCAAAGAAAAAGAAGACATTTCATTACTCGAAATTTAAATGATTTCTGTAATGACTTTTTTCTCAAATTCTCCTTCAGAAGTTATTGAAGGGCCCTGCAGCGCAGAAATAGTAGTACTATAGGATCACAAATTATAAAATTAGAAAAACATATTCACGTATTTAAAAAGTCGAAATTTAATTAAACAAAACGGAGTCAGTCCATGAAGTGATCTTGACATAAGATTGCCGACGTCTGCATATGAAATTATGCTACTAAAAATAGAATTTCAGGATAATTTTTGAATTCTCTTTCAATTTTCACTCGAAAATCCTCCCATCTAGAATAAAGCTGCATATTGCACCTGGCTTCAAAGAATAATCACACATCACGCAAGAGGCAAACATTTTTATTGCATCACTAAGTTGAAATTAATTTTGGTTGAAGTAAGTAATTAGCAGAGTTGTTCTTTCTTCAATGTTCTTTACCTGCAGAGGAAGTTGCCTGAACCGCACTGATCGTCAAAATCAATCTGATAGTAATTGCGCGTTCATTCAGCATAAAGAAAAAGATGCCATCTGCAGATGTGGATTAAAAGTCATCCCCAGGAGTCCTTATTCATACTTGTCTTGGCTTTGTAATATTTTGAATGGAACCATCATTCTAGCAATCCACTCAAAAGTTTATAGAAGGAAATTTCAGAATAATCAAGTACCGATAATTCATTCCATTAATGTGCCTCAGGGCGAGGACTTTTTGTGGATTCTGCTTCTGGAACCAAGTAGCCATTTGTCTACATCGAACAATAATTATATCACTCTCGATTCAGGTCATGAACAGTGAACTGGATCATGTGGTCTAGTTCTAGTAATCAAGGCACCATTACAAATGCTTCAAGAAAATGACGTGTTTTGGATGATAACTCAAGAAGTTGCTGTGCTTTACGTTCTTTTCGAACTGTATTCTTTAGTGCAGCGGAATCTGAGTTAGACTACAAACGCAAGAATTCAAGCAGTTTGGGTGATGTCTGTAATGAGGATTATCAAAAGTACAGGTCTTATTTCAAGGGAAACACTAGATCCATTTTAAAAAGAAAGACCAGCATCGTCAACAATGTGAAGGACGCTCTCTTTTCAAGACACTGGAGATTTCAGCAGATATCTACAACACGCTATATAAGTCCGTTTAACCAGTCACAAAAATTATACGCTCGCGCTCAATCAAACAAAACGAACGTCATTCAATCGAAAATACACGGAGAGCACCGAAAAAACTCCAAAATGAGATCTGCAAATCCTGTTGAACAAATCATAAATAAAAACGCACAACGGAAGTTTTTCTTAAAGCATAACACACGGTTCATGACCAGTTACACAGGTCCAGATTCGTGCCAAAATTATTTGAATGCAGAGATGTCGCATAAATAACTCCTCGCAATCTTAGTACAGTAGTAAAATTCTAATATCAATTTGTAAAATCAACGTGTAGCAAGAAATCGATCCTTTTTTCTCAATCACGGTAAAAAAATGTATCCCCAAACGCACCCGATTCGATAATTGCATGAACATTATCATCTTTGATCGAGATTCTATCAGCCAGAGCTGAATGAAAAGTTGTCGTCGTCAACAGCGTTCGAGTCCTCTGCAGACATTGATTCATCGGGATCCGGGAGTGGCAGTGATATGGAATCATCCAAACACCAAGAGGAATTCGCTGCATCGCGATCTGCATCGCTGTTGGAAGCAGTTTTCAATTCGTCGCGCTTCTTCAGGTATTTCAAGACTTTGTCGATGATTTGAACAGCATTCGCTCCCGTGTTACCGATCTGGGAATTATACTCATCGTCATGAAACTATTGAATGCCTGGTTATGGTAATTATGTAGTCACCGTGGCTGTAAGCTTAACAAAGTTGAAGTACTTCTCCACCAAACCAATAAGCCGGGAGAAATTTTTTTCTGGCAATAGCTGGCGTAATGCTTCCTCTCGACCCTTTAAAGAAAAAAAGGATAACACCCCATTAAAAGTCTAGAATTATCCAAATTCAGGACACCATCAATTCCAAAACGTAGCCGAGTATTTTCTGATTCTGAAACAACAAACTTCTGTTCGAAAATCCAACACAGACTATCACTCGATTCAAAAATAATAGGAACTCTTGCACAGGGTGGTCCAAAAGGAATACACTATTTCCACTAAGAATCTTCTGACAATACTGCATTACAACGAAAAACTACTAAAGGCTCACTTCAATTTTCCAAGCATTATACGATGAACTTCGAAAGCAATATTATGAAGGACACGGTTAGCTTCACATAAGTTATTAGAGGAAAAATTAACAAGATGCTCTCTCCCTTCCGCATGATTAATTTCATGCCTTTGTTTTCCACCCCCTTTTGAACGAATCCGAAGATAGTAGAAAGAGAAACCAAAGAAGACATGAATGAGAATGAGAAGCAAAATAAGAGAAAATCCTGTAGCTCCCGTAGGAATAGAATCTATGAGAAATGCGAACAAAAAGCAATCGGTGAAAAGCTTCTAAAGGGCAATTTTTCTACGTGGAAAATTTTAGGTCGCTTTCTTTCTGAGAGCGTAGAAATTTATCCTTCGAGTAAAGAATATACAGTACTGGAATATTACCCCATTAAATATCCACGAGAACCAAAGAAGCACCTTCATGCTTTATGAATCACAATCGAGAATTGCGCCTCACATCTGATTAATAACCCATCAGCACATCAAAATCATACAATGAAAAAAAAACCCTTAATAAATTTCGGCGAAAGAAAATGATGAGCTCAAACAGTACACCTGGCAATACAACGCATAAAAAAATTCACTTTCAACGAATTCAACAAAATCAGTTCAAGCAGTCTCACCGGGTTATCCCAAATGCAATGCGTTAGGAGCATAGCTGTGTTTGCGCCGATGATGGTTTCCTCCATATGCTTCCCAGCCTTGGAAACAACTGCAGTTGAAAAAAAAGAAAAGAAAAATGAATTAGAATTAACACCAATCAAACCCAACTTACGGTCATTCAAAGTCTCCTCCAACGCTTCCTCTTTCTTTTGTTTTTCTTGATCACGTTTCTTCTTACGAGCTTCGTCCATTTCATCAATGATGTTGTCAGTGACCTCGGCGACTTCTTTGGCGTTGGCGTCACAATTGAGGAACAAATGAATGAATGCTTCCATGGGTTCTGTTTCTCCTGGAATTATGAGATTTATCTTGAGAAAACGCAGACAGAACCTGAACCGAGAGACCACCAGAGCAATTCGCAGATGTACCAAAATCGGCTATTTCACAAATAAAAATGTTCCGAGCATGAATTGTACAACTCAAAATATTTTCTATACGGCGTCAAACATTGAACAGAGAAAGGCATTCGAGTACAGGTTCGATGAAAGCAAATTGTACGCTTTATGTAGCAGTTCCTCATGTAGCTAATACCGTTAAAAATGATCCACTGAAGTTAAAAAACTTCCGTAAAAAGGGTGAAGTAGACCTTACAGATATTTTTTGCAATTCCACAGGCAAGAATTTGATGCTACTCCAAATGTATCACTGTTGAGACACCTTTCGTACGAACGGCGCAATGTGAAATTGATGAATAAATAAAGCAAATACTAGTGCCGTAGTGTTTTCAACGTACCAGGAATATCCCTTCCATCATTGATCCTCATAGACAGAAATTTGTCTCGGTTTTTCGGCGACTTTTCAACAAGATGTATCAAAATTCCAAGCGCCTGCAAGAAGAACAGCAATCAAGCAACATCCTCGTAGAAAATGAATTGCATCTCACCAAGATGAGGAATTCTGCCTTGAATGATTCCGGTACATCCTTTTTCAGATGGAACATACACTGACAACAGAGGGAAAAAAGTCCAGGACGCTTCCCAAGAATTTCCGCGGGTCGCTCTGAAGAAAAAAAAAAAGATTCTTGGAACTTCCTCCACTGATTCCGGAAATATCAATTAGATCAAGCTAACAGTGCAGAGTATTTCGTCACTAACACTGAAGAATAAACAATACTTACCATCCGGAATTTCCGAAAATATGTCTCCAGCAAGCAAAAGAAGAACTTTCATCGAAGACAGCAATGTTGCGAGCAACGTATCGGCAAGTGACTCCCTCACACTGAACGAATCCATAGAGTATGACGGAATTTCGTTCGCAGAAAGTTCACACAGTTTCATCACACAATCCACCAACACGCCGTTTTGGTAACTGAGCAGGTACTTCTGATTATCTTCATTGTGACTCGTCACCTACGGAAAGAAATGTTCACAAAAACGCATCAACATTATATTCGACTCACACGAAGAACTAATATCCTGAAAATAAAAACACATTGGTACAAGTACAGTTGGGCAAGTTTACGTTCGCTTCGTCCACAGTAATCGGGGGAAACCGATTCATCTGCGTGAAAAATTATTTCTCACGGGAGCATACTTACTTGAAAAGGTTTCCAAAAAATTATCGATAAGTAAATGAAAGAATAAAAGCACCGAATTCAAATTACAGTATTTAACTCAATTCAAAACCAGGAATACAGCGGACTCTCTCCACAACGAAATTGAAGGGGCAAGAAAAAAATCGTCGTAGAGAATCCCTATAAAATGGGGAAAGAACCCAGTTGGACCCAAAAATATACGCTATACAGTGAAAATCGTAGTATGCACGATCGATGTAGAGAGTTCAACTGTTGTTATTTTGTATTATCCGAAGAGGTTGACGAACGGAAAAAAATTAGGGCACTTCTTGGGGAAGATGTGGAATCCAGAGGTACAATACATACACTTTGAAAAACTCGAAGGCATCGTTCAGCTCTCTTGAGCTTCTCCACAGATTTTGCATTCCAAGTTATAGGCGGCAGCAAGTGAATCTGTTCGACGGAACGAGCTTGCGGCAAATAACGTAAACAGTCGTTCACTGTATTGACGATATGCGCCAAACCGCCGAGTTCCCGAAGCTCCTCTTTGAACCATTCTCCAGCACGGCGGGACGTTAAACTCAACAACGTTTCCACAGCCAAATGTTCAGGCTAAAGAGACAACCATCCCGAATAAAACTGTATTCCACGCGACAGAAAGGGAAAATACGCGCTTACGGTGATGTGGTTTAAATCCAACGTCTGAGCGTGGCCTTGCGATTGCAATTCGGCACACATCTCTTTGACCTTCTGACGATGCTTTTCGAGTTCTTTGGAGTCTAATTTGGTTTCCTTGAATTCGGCTCCTTCGCCACCACTGCAACGCAAAAAATCGAATGCATATTATGCACAGTATTATTTTAGGAAAGTTTCGCGATTTTACCCCATTAGTAGATATTTCTATTCATTACTCAATCCCGGATGAAAATTTTTAAATTTATTTATTTTAACTATCATCCATCGATCTAAACAAATAATAAAATTTTCCTTTTATTTAAACGGATAAATAAATCCGCGTTAATTTCCTGTAGTCGAGCCAGAGGCCTCCGGAAATTGAGTGCGTTAAGGATATGAAATGTGCCATCGGAGATGCGTCATCGAACAAGGAAATATCTTCTCCACGTATGATCAGAGAACATTCGTTTTAAATATACTGTAATACCAAAACCTTCCATTCAGTATATCATGCAGATGTCACCTGACAGAAGTTATCATCTGTATATCTTTTTTCTGGTAACTGGACAAAACACATTCACATTGCTGTAAAATAGGACTCGAAAAATTTTGGGCGACACCTTTGGAATGAAAAGAACATTTTTGTAGTACACGGAAATCCAAGAAGGAATTTCTTTCGTGTTCTGATGCGTCGAAAAACTCACGTGTTGGATTCGATGAGTTTCAGCATCAAATTAAGACTCTCGCAGTCCAGATCCATATTGAGCCGATCTTGAGCAAGGACGAAGAAGGTCATGGCAGTGCAGAGTGACAAACACTAACGGCAGAAAACAACGAAATGAACAACGATTTTACTCCAAAAACTGCATGGAGTACTCACCGCATCAGATGGAGCGTCTTTCAATGCACCAAAGAAATTTGCGACAGTTCCCTGTGCCCGCAAATGCATTCGAAAAGCAGGAACCATGCACTTGCTTGCCAAAGAAACGGCACTTAGACAGCTGCATAAAAAATTAGATTGAAATCAACAGCTGCTGGCTGAAGCTTTAACCTCGCCTTTCTGAAAATCTTTATTAAAAAATCCTGCAAGAAAAGAATCCAGCAATCAAGAACTCACCGGACGCCAATAGGATTTGAGTCTTTGAGCGATTCGAGAATATAATCCACATCATCTTGAAAATCTTGGAATTCTGCTATTTCCTGAATTTGATACCCGTGACGAACATTTTTGACCACAGTGAAAAACTGAAAAAAACAAGGTTCCAACATCTCAAACGAATCACCTTTAAAACCCCTTTGCTGATTCTCAACGAAGAAATGTTGACACGGACGGAATCAAAAAAATTAAAGCACAACCAAAATGTAAACTAATTCACCTTTTTCTGCTCACGACCGCACTTCAGAGACACGATTTCTTTGGCCTCTTCGTCGATATCACCCAAGTTTTTTGGCGGTGCAGTGATACATTTCCGCAATTTCGGAAGATCAGAAAAGGCGTTTTGCGGTTCGAATTCCGCATCGAAGTCATCATAAGCTCGAGACACAGCATCACTCGACGTAACTGCTGCGTTCGCCGCGGCTTTATTCTTCGTGGCCTCCTCGTCTTGATCACCGTGCCACTTGTGTTTGTACGACGCACGATTCGATGCGGATTTTGAAAAAAATATCCTGGGCTTTCTTCCATCATTGTTGGAGCTTGGATTGCGACTAGGAATATGAATGATCCTCTCTGCTTGACGCAGTGGTTCGAACGCCGAAAAATCCACGGTTTGAGGTTCACTGTTCGCCTTTTCTTCTTCAATCGTATCCAGCCATGGTTGCGAATCGACTTGAAGCTAGATAATTGGAAAAAAAAAAACGGAATCAAGAATCAATTTTGCTCGACAGAAAACGGAACAAAACACATTAATGTTTCACAAATTGAAGTATTAAATGGATTCTATACGTTATTTTAAATAATACATCTTGTTCTTTTGTTCATTAAATATGAATGAGCTGAACTACCTCGCTCAAGCAAGAACTAGAAACTTTGAAACTCACATTCGGTTGTGAAGAAAATGTAGGTGGCTCCTCGATCGGAACATCTGCAGGAAGTTTTTTCGGAGGCCGACCACGGCGTTTTGGTACAGGTTTGCAAGAATTTTCAGGTTCTATCATTGGATTCGGTTCCGGGGGTTCAGTAATGGGCGGGGGTACATCACATGGTTTGACGGACTCAGATAAATCATCAGGTTTATGCACTGTCAAATTGAACACAGAATCGGGACACGACGGGGAAGAGGTCAGAATCGGGAAGTCACTAGTCATTCCAAACTTCAACACCAAACTCGGTCGATGATCGGGTTGATCTGGTTCAGAGGACGCAAACGGCTGAGATGTTTGCGACTTCGTCTGGGGAGAAGAACTGCTATCTTCTGATCTGGGGTCTTCTGAAGAACAAGGTTCCATGACGTCTTCAAAGATTTCTACATTCTCAGGCGAATCATCAGAAACGGATTGTGATTCCTGATCCGGAGTAACGGCGGGTTCGGAATTATGTACACTATCCGGTCGGAAGGTAGGAATAACAATGGCATCTGGACCCAACAATGTTTCCCAAGTTGCCTGTGGTGGACTAGGTTTCTTGGGGCGATGACCAACATTCCTTAAACCTCCACGCTTCTTACGTTTCCGGCCACTCGTCGAACGTTTCCTGGGACCTCTTGGACTTTTCGAACGAGACCTCTGGAAAATCAAGGTTTCGACAGCTGGAGATAATTCCTCTTCTTGCGACGTCGGGCTTTTCAGGCGTTTAGCATAACGAACACTCCGTGCAGTCACCCCCGGGGGAAGATCGGGAGGCGGAACAGCAGGAGAAATTCTTCCAGCGATATCTAAAGATTCATCTTCGTGAAAGACTTCGTTGTCTTCTTCCTCCTTCTCGCTGACGGCATATTTCTCTTTTTTCGCTCTACCTCGGGGACGTCCATGCTTTTTCTTCTTGGTGACTCCGTCTGATGCTTCCACATGAAATCCAGATGACGTTTTCTTCATCACGATCTTAAGAGGGGCACGCACTTCCACTTCGGAGATTTTGTTCTCCTTCGCGGGAACTGAAACCGGCGCACGATGAAGATACGATGTTGGAGTCGATGGCGGAGGATCTGATTCAAGCTTCTTCCCGGAGGTATTCTTCGTCGCCGGTGGTAGTCTTCTCTTTGGCTGCTTCTTGAAAATCTTATGCTTAGGTCCATACAAGGTGGAAAGATCGAATTTACGAAGCGGAGCGGATTCAGGGGCGGCAGAGTTCGTTGCATCACGACTCTTGAAAAACTTCTTCGGTTTTGGAGCGGGAGGTGGATCGACCGATTCTAGCCCGGGGTGCATGTAAATGTCCGTCTCCGAGGAACCATCCTGAAAATCGAAAGCTGATCCTTTTCCGGAGTCAAATGAAAATGCATCGCTACCACAAGCAGCGTTCCAACTCGGGTCAAGTTGCATATAACGGGGATTGGCGCCATTCATATTCTTCCTTTCTCGAAAGGTTCGATTTGTGACACATTCAAATGGCTGCGAAGTTTGCTGAAACAAAACGCAGCTTTCATCAAAATGTCGGATCAGATCGGTGCTCTCAACGCTTGTATGCCTAATCATGCGGATGACACACTGATGTTAAATCGTTTCGACAGCCGCGAAACGGAACAGCATCTGAAAAAAGAAGATATTGCACACCTATAAATAAAACTTGAAGTGAACGGCTTAATACGAAACACCTTGCATCCAAGCAAGAAAATATGACGCAACAAAGTCAAATTCGAAAAATGTCACGTTCAACAGAAGCAGAAAATTTTTTCTTATTTCCCTATGCCATGATCGCGAGGTTGTTATATACGGTGGTCAGATAAGATCACCCCGGAAATTTTGCATCAAGTTCTGCGCGCCCTCAGACGAAAACTACGCATCTACTATTTACTCACGCCGGACTTGAAAATTATTCGCACTGAACACTGATGACCTACGTAGGATCCGAACCTACCTCAGAAACTGCAGTGATTCTCACGCGTTCGATCCGCGTGCGTAACCCTATGTACTTGTTCAATGCTTGGAAGTCCACCGCTTAGAGTATCGTTTGAAAAACAAATCAGCAAATAAATTGAATGCAATTATTAAAATTTATTCCAGGCTACAGCACAAAATACCGATAAAAATTTAAACATTCTCGATAGAAAATCTACATAAAAGTGATGTTAATGGAGAAAGAAAGGTTACTTGCACGAATGACATGTTGCACTGCGCGCATAAGCGACATCAGACGGAAATGGCGAAGATCCATGATAGAGCGCTTACATCTTGTGGGTTTTCTCTAGTTAGAGGTCGAACGTTTCTGGAAGGATATTAGAGACGAATTGAACCTGAGCAATTTTTGCTGTTTGGAACCAGAACATTTTTAAGTTCAGTGTCAAGGCTTTTGTTAAGCATCAGCGATTTTGTTGCATCGTTACGTGGTCAAATTGGTACATTTCACGTCAGGCAGTCATCTCTACCCTGCAGGCTTCCCAAACCCGGGAAAGCCGCAACTATAACGAGGTGCGTCAGTCTTCGTCTGTCAGTTCCAAGTAGTGTAAATTACGATCTTGCGACGAAGCAAGCCGTCAAAGACTGTTTGAAACGCGTGTGTTTAATTGTATAGTACCAGTTATCTTCAATTCCTAAGTCGAAAAGTATTGCGGTCGAAGAGCGTTACTGTATTTTTTTGGAAGATACAAAATATTTCTAGACGAATAAGCCATGAATGCTGAAGCGTCTTGCTCCATCGAGAAATTCCGGGAGTACGTAAGAATTCCCACGGTTCAACCAGAACCTGATTATGGTGAGCCCTGTGTGCGCATCGTACGACGCATGTCTGATATCTGGTCACCTATATAACGTTATTCCACATTCCTTCCGGAATCATAAGATATGCCGGAGGATTTCGTCGAGTACTCTAGCAGCTCGCAGTTAGCGATCACCAACTCCATATATTAGTTTGATCCTAGATGTCGCTGTACAAAGCGCATACATTTCGGTCGTCACTCATTTGCTTACAGAACCAGCCGTTAACTTCCTAAAAGAATATGCTGATGAATTGGGACTTGAATTTGCCGTGGTTACGCCAATTCCGAAGAAGCCTGTCGTGCGATTGTCATGGATTGGAACGAATCCATCCGATTCTCCTATCATGCTCGTTTCGCACGTGGATGTTGTTCCAGTGTTCCCGGTGAGCTTATGAAAATTCATTTTGAAGAATATAACAGTACCAAACTGCATACAGTATATATATATTCTGTATATACAGTACAGTATATATATCTAACAGATTTTAAACATATATTTGTGAGAATCTTAGACTGTTTTTTTCTTATATTGTTGCATGATTTTCATTTATATATATATGTAAACAAAAAAGTGAATCCAAGTAATTGCATGCTGTATTTTGATGATCCTAAAATTGCTGCGTTGTAAACGTGACGATGCGAAAGAGGCGCAGCAATTTCTCGGCAGATTCTTACTTTCGAATGAACTGGGATGAAGTATAAAAAATTAAGCAATTGCATATTTTCAGACCGATTCTTTTGCGTCCTCTTTTGAAAATGGCAGATGTAAAAAAAAAATGAGGCGATGGTACACGTACTGTATAATTTTTCAGAAGTTACGGTATCTGAAGAATTCTGCGTATACCTATTGGCAAAAAGAAAAAAGCACTGCATACTTTTGTATATTATTTTCCTGTTCGTCATTAATTGGAAGATAGAGGTTTCAGAAGGTTTTGCTCATATAGAAAAAATACTGTACGTCATGGAGGCGATGAGGCAATTATGTGGTACAACTTCGGGAATATACGACATCTTTGAAAATTTTTATGATAATTTATTTATTTACCATTGTTCTGAATAATTTTGTACGAAATAAAAACAAAACATTTGTATGCTGTCCCTTGTATATGCGTTATCGTGCGAATATAGGTGAATTCCAACGGCGGGTATTTAAGAATACCTGCCGACTGATTTATCTGGAATAAATTAAGTGTCTTGGGCTTTCATTTCAGCTACTGCGGTGGAATCTCTGCAACGAAATTCAGGGAACTAAGAAAATGTGCTGTGGAAATTATTTGTTTTATAAAACTCCCATGCATTTTGAAAAAACAATGGCAGTTGAAATTATCTGATGGAAAAATAAAAGTTATCTTTTCTCTTAATACCAATTCAGACAAATTTTCACCTGTTGAAATATATTATTGTATTCTTTCATTCTGAGAAACCTTTCTTCAAGCGCACCTTCCTATTTTTTCAAAGACCCTCCACTATAGCTGCTTCATTAAAAAAAAATTATTCAAAGAAAAAGCAGAAACTTTTAATTGCCTACCCTAAAGTCTTTCGAGAAAAACTAATCTGATTCTGTTAAACTTTGATGAAACTTTTCTGATTCTGTAATACTTTGATGAAACTTCGCCGGTACGCAGAAGATGTTTGTGAAATTTGCTGGTCCGCGGACCCAAAAAGGTTGGGGAACACTAATTTAGAGAACCCTTATATGGGATCATAAACTAAAATCATTATGTATTGCCCAGATAAAATCGATGTAGACAAAACCATGGCTTTTTAACAGTTTTCCCAACCGATGGTCCACGGACCTGCGCTGGTCCGCAGAAGTTTTTTGCTGGTCTGGGAAATCTCTGCAGAATAAAGAATTTATCAAAATTACCAATGAAGTCTGTCATCTCTATCTGAAACTTTGGAAAGATAATTGCAGTTGAAATTAAAAAAATTAGAAAATAAAAGTTAAACTTTCTCTTGATAACACTTCAGACAGATTTTCACCTGTTGAAATAAATTACTTGGATTTTTTCATTCTTTCTAATTTTTAAAAGACATTCCACGATATACAGGTGCTATACTGTTTAAAAAAAACAGAAACTTTTAAAATACCAGCCATAAGTATTTAAAGCAAAACTTTTTTGAGTCTGTCAGCATTTTATGAAAAATTGCTGGTCTGCAGAAAATTTGTTAAAAAAGTGCTGGTCAACAAAGATTATTCTGAAAATTTGCTAGTCCTCAAAAATTTCTATGAAAATTTGCTTGTCTGCAAAAATGTTGTGGGAATTTGCTGGTCCGCAAACATTTTAATGAAAATTTGCTGGTCCGCGGGCCCAAAAAGGTTGGGGGGACACTTTATAGAGAGTCTATCTCTGGACTGTCATAATATGCTGTGTTTCATCTCTCTCATACCAGGAATGTTGGTCCTGGGAGCCCTTCGGAGCGCAAATCGATCCAGCAACTGGGAACATTTACGGCAGAGGAACACAGGACATGAAATGCGTAGGCATTCAGTACCTAGAGGCGATTCGCCGCCTCAAGGCTGACGGACTGGTACTCAAACGAACTTTGCACGCCGTGTTCGTGCCAGACGAGGAAATTGGCGGAGTTGATGGAATGGCCAAGTTCATCGAAACAGACGAGTTCCGAAAGCTCAACGTTGGCTTTTCGTTGGACGAAGGATTGGCGAGTCCCACTGAAGTTTATCCCGTTTATTACGGAGAACGATCGCAACAGTGTAAGTCTAAAGGAAAAACAAAAACTTATGAAAATCCTTTTTTTCAAATCAGATTATTCGATAGCCCGAGTGATCAATTTCTCCGATGGAAGGTGTCTTGGACATCAAGATTTTCCGCCTCATTACGTATAATTATTGCATCATCATTATTGCTTCTTCATTGTTGTGCTGCGTGTGCCTTGAATCTATTCGCGGTTAGTCCGGTAATTCATGCGACACCTGTCCGAAGTTTCAGAAAGCAAGGTCTGCGGGGTAGAAAGATTTGATTGAACTGAGGATGATCAAATGATTGCCAGGAAAAGAGAGCACCTCTTTATGCATGAACAGGAACTTGGGATTCATTTGAACGTATAAATTTCATAATTTGATTAACGATAAGCTCCCTTTAAATTTCTTGATTTCAGTTTGTGTGACAGCGAATGAATGAAGTTGAAAATAATCTTCGTGTCTTGCCAGGGCTTGAATTCATATTCACCGGTAATCCCGGCCATGGCTCGAGATTTATTCCTGATACAGCAGCGGAAAAAATGGCGAAGTTCATGGGCTATTTGATGGAATTTCGGGAAGAACAGAAGAAAATCCTTGAAAGCGACCCTAATTTGACTGACGGCGACGTCACGTCGACAAACATTACGATTCTCAAGGTAAATAAATGTGAAACCACGTTTACACCGGCATTTCGAAAGGATATAGCTGTCTATGACTCGGGATTTTTGTTTCTCAACTCCGAAATTACTTCATTTCAAAGTGAGACGTTCAGTGAAAACGAAAAAGGTTTTCCAACAAAGATTCTGGGTGATACTACATTATGATAGGGCGATGTTGGCTATATGAACAAAAACAAAAACGTGGGTGTCATATTTCAAACATCCTTCACGCACCAAAACTTCTGGTGCAATGGGAAACTTTTTCCATTTAACCCAAGATTTCCTACGCAAACCATGGGGGAACTATATATAAAGTACACATTTAGTGTAGTGATGCCGGAAAATATATGACAGAAACAGAAATCAACCTAAAATTGAACTTTGTTTTTTTTGTTATTTTCTTTTTTTAATATACTGTAATAAAATGTATTCCGAATGTACTAATAACATGCCACAGCTTTTTTGATTTGGATAGTGGACCCTGCTTCCAATAATAAGCGGCATGGAAATTGTCTGTCCCATATACAGAAGCATCAAAGTCCCTGCTGGGAATTTGGTTGCCAGTGTACTTGTTTTATAGGTTATGATTTGTGTTTTAAATGTTCTTGTATGTGCAGTTGAGCATCGTTTTCCTTGTGAATTTTCTCAAGTTTATTTATTTAATTTTATTAATTAATTATTTTTTTCAAGTTTGAAATACATCTGTCTATTAATTTATTCAGACATATAGTGCATGAAATCGAATTTCCAAAGAATCAAGAACAGATTTCCTCAAATGCTGTAAATTTTTTTTAATTTCTAAAAAATTAATGAAATATTGCCAAAATTCTGGAATTAATCAGTCATTCTTGGATAATTCTCTATACTAGGAAAATAATTGACTTCCGTTTGGAATGTCGTCAAATGGCTGTACACTAAAGTTCTGTACTCAAGTATGATTTTTACGCTTAACTATATACCCAATCCTAATGGAAAAAACCTATGAAAGGGAGGAGTGCAGCCGAATGTGGTGCCAGCCGAGCTGAGGATGACTGTGGACTTCCGGGTGTCGCCGTCGATGGGATTGTCGACATTCCGTTCCCGACTCGACGGCTGGATGCGCGATTCCGGCGCTGACGTGCGCTGCGTTCCCGTGTGCGCATTCGACAGCAGCAGCGTCACGTCGACCGGTTCGGATAACAAGTTCTGGACTGCGTTTGCTGACACTTGCTCTGCTCTGTGAGTTTTCTCTCTCTTTGTTTTGTTTTTGTTTTTCACGTCATTATGATTTTTTGACACGTCCAGCATGCTGTGTGACACCTTGTATAATTCTGAATGCGACTGTCGTTGATGAGTCGAGTTGCATCTGAAACATCTTGAGAGCGTATGAACGTGTATGCTGTTTGTTTTATTTTTATCGCTGCATTTATTTCCAGGGGAATGAAGATACGACCGCAAATATTCCCGGCCGGAACAGATAGTCGCTATTTGAGAAGTGTAAGTAGCAAAAATCTTTGATCTCCTCTGTCCCCAATTGCTCGAGTACTTTTTTAATACTCCGCGCTGCTTCAATCATGGTAACATGAATCAACCTAGGATTACAACAAAATAATTTTTCTTATACAGTATGAAAATAATGAACGTAAAACATAAAAACCTCAAAACCTAATGCATAACTACCCTGATCAAACCCATTATGTAATATTGATAAACAGCCTTGATCAAAAATATCCGAATGAACTTGATCTAAAATCTGCGCTTACAAAATGAACAAAACTTATTCGCATTCATATAATCAAACGTGATCCTGAATTAACGAACTATACTTTCCTTGACCTAACGTAATAAAGTCCTTCCTGCCAATCCTGTCTAACATACCCTATTATTGAACTAATTTTATAATCTACCAGAAGTGGCATTCAGTTTCATTTTTCCACCGGATCCAATAAAACGTGTCCTATATTTAACCTAAGCAAACCAGTGCCATCTTCAAAACCTGACCTATATTCGATCCAGTAATATATAATTCAACATACTATTGTGAACACTGCAAGATAGTCGCTATTTGTTAATTTGAAGTAGCGAAAATCTTTGATCTCCTCTGTCCCCAAACCAGATTGAACGAAGTTCAAATAACCGAACCAAACCAAACCGATCCCAGATTCCATTAAGAAAATCTTTCCTTCATGACCGCAAAAAAACCTATCCTAATAACACAGTTGAACGTAGTCTAATAAATCTTATCCTAATTAACCTACAATTGTCTATAATGATAAAAGAGAGGGAGCCGAAAATAACTCGACAGTAGAAGAAAGCGATCCGTTTGGTGTAATCGTTTTTTGGGAGAATTCCTGAGAAGCTAGACAACAGTGGGTGGGAATATGTTGGAATTAATAGAAATTAAATTAGTTGAGACAGGAATGATCAAATTTTTCGTCTCACTCTTTTTTGAAAGTTTTATCTTAAACTGAATCAACCGTCATTTGTATTTTTTTGCGAACGTGGGATACATCAAGGAATACCTTCGAAACATTTTTGCAATTTTTCTTTGTACTGGACGAAGTAGAAAAATTGTTGTTGTAGATTATAAGTTAATCATCGTACTGTTAACTTCTAACATTAATTTTGAAAATGGATTTACAGATAATCACCCCTAAATGTCGAAGCACCGCAAGTTAGCTTCAACAGTATACATTTTATAGCGAGTAAAAAATATTTTCCCGGAAACTGTTGATGATTCTTGCTGATTCTTCCAGATCGGAATTCCAGCCATCGGCTTCTCTCCAATGATCAATACCCCGGTTTTGCTGCACGATCACGACGAGTTTCTGAATAAAGACGTTTTTCTAAAAGGAATCGAAATTTACCGCGCTCTTCTACCAGCCGTGGCCAACGTCGAAACCGAGTGAAATGCTCAGTGTTTTATCTGATGAGAGGCGAGAAATTATTTGACGCGAATTATTACCGGGAATGGAAACGAACGTCATCCAAGAATCTGCCGAACACAAGGCTTCCTTTATGAATATTTTCCGCTTTGAAATTTGGATAATTTTCGGGAAAGAAGGATTTATTCTCGCCGCTGAAAAAAAGCAGAATACCGATATGTGGTTTGTGGGGAAATGACTTGCCTTTTTATTTTTTTCTGACTTTTTCTTTGACGTTCAACACATTTTGAAATTTTAAAAATCTCAAAAGCCCGCATTTCCTCGATGTCTAAGAACAGAGTCGACTAGTAAACATTTATGTACTGTATTAATAAGAAGTTGAGAGTTTCGGAAGGTAAGTTTGTAGGTGAGAATAACGTACAGTATTCGACTTCAGGACTTCACCAAGTCTGCTAATAGTAACTCTTACAGGGTCGCGAGATGCGGACATGATTGGTACATGGACCTTTTTCGTTTGTCAGGGCATCCGCATGTTAGATAAAGTTTTCCCACAGAGTTTAATGACATTTTGATTCGATTGGATTCAATCATTAAATTTTCTTCAGTGTATCAAAAATTAAAAATAAGTCCTCAAAAAAACTGAATAAAATTGTGTCTAAACTTCAAAATAAAAAAAAAAACAGTCCAGAAGAAAATTGCACAAAATCTGATCTTTTGGCAGAAGAAGGAGCACAAATGCACAATAATCATACAAGAACAAATCTTGATATCCTGTTCGAGCACAGATAAGGGGAAAAAGCTCTGCAAAATAAGCACAAAGTTAGCCTGTTTTGATTATGAATTTGAGTAAATGTATAATAAAATTTATTTTTATTTCTGTGAATACAAGGTAGCTCGATTTTTCAAGCGATTTAAACTTTTTAAAGTAAGTTTTTCTTTCGTTCTAAATTTTTTTATTTCTTTCTTAAGTGTCCGTGCTGTCTCAAGACATTGTCCAGAGATTTTTGGCAAATTCTCTGCGTTTTAGTCTTTTAGATATCCCTAAAAGTTGAATTGTCTGCATATCGGGGTCCAGCGCTATAGATCAGTAAATATATACACAGCAGTCTATCAGTCCTGATATTTTATTGTCAGCGTGATTTCAAAAAAACGTATAAATCTCACGGACCCGATTTTCTACTTTCATGAGTCAAAATTTCTCAAAACTGGTCTGTTCCTCGAGAAACGCCCTCGTTATCCGAAAAAAATGGATACCAGGTGCTCAAATTCCCTCGTGGATAATCCCACCAATCATCCTTCGAAGCGACTCAGCTGGAAAAGTTTGTCCCCTCTTGCCAGCGATAAATGAATGATTCCTAAGAAAATTGAAGAAACTACGATATTCAAATTGGTATTAGCTGATAAGGTTAATCAACGTCGACAATGTCGCTACTTTTAGTCGTTGAATTCATTCGTTTGGGAGAATTCGGAGCGAGACATGAAGTTCTTTTTGCTGCTCGTCTGCGCAGCCGCAGTTGCTGTCGCAGAAAAGCGTTATGATGGGTCAGTAATACTGTATAATTAAACCTGCGACGATTATTTGAAGATATAATTTTTTTTTACAACACCGATCGACTTGGAATTTGAAGAGGCGAAATTCTTCTGGAAATCTGCTGTAAAACCATATTTGAAGTAAAAAAAAGAACATAAAACTCAGGCAATAGAGAAGTTCTCCAAACTTAGGCCCCTGTATAAATCTCTGTAAAAATATTAAACGCTTGCAAAGATTGATTTAAATTCTGTTATGCGTGATTCATTCGCAGGTTCTCGGACTTGTTTGTGTGAAAAAAGTACAACTACGCTAAATCACATATTTTTGGATATCAAAAATTTCGTTTGAAGAAGAAATCCAGGAAAGTTTTCAGGCTTATACGGGAAAATAAATGCAAAATATTCTCTACTGCACCGTTTAATTTAATATCAAACCTCATTATGAATAAGTTGAAATTCGGGGGATGACCAGCAAGAAAAAAATAAAGTTAAGAAGTTTAAAATGACTTTGAGAGGTTCGAGTTGACGATGGGGTTCGACTGCATTTATTAGCGTGATGGAATTCATGCTCTCTCGTCAGACGCCAGTTAAATATAAACTTGCGGAGAGTTCGACAATATTGAGGATTATTATTCTTTTTCACTTTTTTTTCTGCGAGAGGTCATCTATTTTCCCATTTTATTCACGCGTTTCATCATAGCTACCAGGTGATCCGTGTGCACCCGGAGAATGACCAGCAATTGGAGTACCTGACCAACTTGGAGCACCACGGAAACTACGACTTCTGGACCGATGTCCGTCGCGACTTCGTCGACATCATGGTGTCTCCCGAGCAAGCCCATGTCTTCAAGTCCCAGATGTTCCTCAAGGGCATGAAGGCTGAGACATTCATCCCCGATGTCCAGAAGTGAGTGAGATCCAGCAGGTTTTTTTCATCTGCTATGGAAAGCATTTTTTTCCAATGATGTCGGTGGTTATGGACATCATGCACGAGAAATTTCATTGTCACAATTTTCATAAGTTCGGCTCATCATTGATCACGAATTTCACGATTTTTACATTTTTTACTGCCTTAATTCTTCCCCGACAACCTGTATAGGGGCCGATGGACGAAAAAAAACTTCATTTACTATATTGAAAACCTTGCTCACTTTTTTTCTGAAATCCAAGACGAAGAAAAGGGATTCATAGAAAAAGTTTCAGAATTTTATACTGTATGTGTATTCTACTTGATTTCAATGGGTAAGTTTGGATAAAGTTAAACTGAAAAAGTTATTTTAACGGAAACGATTGAAAATTAGTTGAATTTTGGTTTAATTCCTGTCTGCATTTAAATTTCAGTGTTCTTACCTCTGAACTATTGCAGTTTCAAAGTAACTAAAAATGGGATGGGCGTCATTATTGCTCAAGGAAACGATTTCATCAACATTTTTGACTGAAAACTCCTGTTGCAGCGTGTTTTACACGAGGTCATGTGGTATTTGAGTAAATATGGCAATCAAAGCCAGCTAGACGAGGAATAGTTACATAGAGAAAAAATACTGTTTTATCGAGATAAACCGGTATATGTAGAGTTTTTGTACAGATGCAAGAAGTTTAAGTATGCAGAAAAACCTGCCTTCAGTTCCAGCATTTTAAGGAACATTTGCGACGAATTTCACACGACTTCATATAGGCCGCGTGTGTGTACTCTGCTATAGGCCGCAATAAAATTCGAGTAAATTATTCCTAAAAAAATAAGATCTGAATGAGCCTCAGAAATGGCTGCTGTTGGGAAAATTCTGCCTAAATATGCTCATGCCAAAAGTTTCGTTCCGATTTTTCAAGCAGTTCCGGAAGTTTTCATGTACATTGTACAGTATATTTATCTGAGAATGGAATCAGTTCCCGAGTACGGCGTAAGTGCGGTATCTAGATTATTGAAAGCTTTAATACGTCTGTGTGAAGAAATGGAATATTTTTGCAGCCGTTGACGCAAAATGCTTTCATTTTATTTTTTATATTTAGAACTACAATGTATCAAACCTTTCTAACGATATTTACAGGCTCATGGATCTGCAGAAGGCTTCCCCAGTTGCTGAAGGTCGTGCCATGGACTGGACCAGTTACCATCGTCTTGGAGATGTAAGATCATCTTTTTGCATCACCTGCACACAGCCCTATAATTTATTTAAAAAACATTCTATGTTTAAAATACAGTGTTGCTTTTGCAGCGGCATTGTTGAGCAACACTTTGAAAATTGTGTCCGTTTTAAAACGATTCAAACGAATCGATATTTTTGATTACTTGACGAGGAGACCAGTTTGTATCACAATTTTTTGCAAAAAATACCTTCTACAGGCAAAGGTAAGTGAAAATAGGCGATATCTTCTTTAAATTCCGGTTTAAAAATTTACATGTCATGTCCAAAAGGCGCTGGTTTATTGCTGTTTCCGAATATGCTGCTTTTAAATCTGTCTGCGATTGACAGTATAGAGAAGGAAATTTCAAATACAGTATGCGTTTTCTATCACAGTGGATGTGTATATCGTGGGGTAATGTTCTAAAATACATTTACAGGTACTTTACTGGTTAGGTCAGTCGAGGTCAGGAGGTCAATGTTTAGATTGGATATCAGTTGAGCTTAAATCAGACCAGCAGCTAAAAATTTGTTATGCAATTAACTTTTTTGTTTTAATCGCTTCGATTGTCGTTCATCCAGTCTATAAACAGGCACGTCCAGGAGTGCGATAATTGATTATTCAACCTTTATGCTTGAAAAGTCATGCGTCGATTACACGATTAAAATGCAAATATACAAAGAACAAGATGTAATCGTTTCCCATTTGAAAAAAACAAAAAAAAACTGTATAGATCCATTCCTGGCTCGATGATCTGGCTGCAGCAAATCCCGACACTGTTTCCACCCAAGTCGTTGGCCAAAGTACTCTTGGAAAGGACCTGAAGGTGATTCGCATCAACACTGCTGGTTCCCCTCACAAGTTCTGGATTGATGGAGGTATTTAATGTATATTTTTGAACTATTGGCCGCATTCAAATGTATATAGCTGCCTTAAATGTAGGACACCGTATTTCAGCAAGCAATAACTGCACAGGCGGCAAAAATTGTCCTGGACAGAAAAAAAAATTATAAACGATAAATCGAATTAATGTTTTCATAAAACATAAAATTCAATTTGTTGTGTAAAATATTCCCATTTCCTTTTTCACGTTCAGAAAGATTACTTAGGTTTGAAATTCCAGTTTATCGGCTGCCAGCTGGAAAAGGCTTGATACAGTATTTATTTATTCATCCTTTCAGACGTCAAAGAAATTCTTTCTTCCGCTTTTCAATTCCGTATCCGCAAAAAGAAATCATCTCGAATTTATAAGCCGCATTCCTTAACCTCGTATAAGTTTTAAACATGCATATATCCTAAGTATATAGGCTTAGTGATTTTTGAAGGAAGTTCATTGTGTGAAAGTGCGGCCTGTATATATTCGATGAATTGAGAATTAATGAAATAAATTAAACAGATTTGCGCTGAAAATGTGCTGATGTTGACCAGCATGCAGCAATAATTTGGTTGAAAATCCATTCATGAATGAAATCATTGTAAATACTGTATTGACCCCCCTATTCGGGTTTCTGTATGTGTTACACACCATTTCAAATTCCGCTTGAAGCACTACGAACAATAGACGTCCTGAAAAATAATTAGCGTTTCAATTACTAACCGAATACATGAAACTCAAAGTTTCTGATGGCTGTAAAGTGCGAGGCAGAAAAAAAGTTTTTTAATAATATTCTTGATACCTTATTTCAGGTATTCATGCTAGGGAATGGATTTCTCCTGCCACCGTGACTTACATCATCAATGAGTTGGTCAACAACTACGAAGCCAACCAGGAACTGGTTGATGCCTATGACTGGTACATTTTGCCGGTGCACAACCCCGACGGTTACGAATACACCTTCACCGACGTAAGCAATATTCGAAAACATCAATATATTTTATTCCTTCTAATTGAAGAATATTTGTTGATGTCTTACTGGAAGCGAACTTTTTTTGAACTTGCTGAGTGCAGGTATCGTGTATAATTTTATCTGTACATCGTTTAATAATATTGCAAAAAAGAGTTTTATCTAAATAAAACTTATTTCATTTGCCACGCACTGTGCGTATAAAATAAGGCTCGTGGAAATTGTATCGCGCTTACAACTTTCAATCAAAAATTTAAACGTCCTGGAATCGCGGTTGACTGCTTATTGGCAGCTACATAATTTATACTGTATATATATTTTTTTTACATAAAGTTGCCTGTTTTCACCTATTATATGCGTAGGTTCTCGTGGTAATACTCTCTAATTTTTGCGTGAATTTATCTCTTGGTTATTATGTGGAAAAGGTCTTTTGCAAATCACAAAAAATTAATGAAATAAGTGTATATTAAATGTACCTGTTGTTTACAGGATCGCCTGTGGAGAAAGACTCTGACTGATCATGACTCTTTCTGGGGATGTCTTGGAGCTGATCCCAACAGGAACTGGGACTTCCACTGGATGGGTGAGCATACCTGTGAAAATTTGGAAAGATAGTACTACACAAGTACAGTACTGCTGTCTAAATTCTAAAATGAACAAGTACAGTATACGGCAGCAAAAAAAAATCGAATTAATTTTCAAGCAAAAATAGAAACAATATAGAGTTTATACGCTCGAATGAAAAGTTGGTTATGGAAAGCGTATTCTAGGATTGAAGTTCAGTTGCTTTTTTGTCCCGAAAAAAAAACTTACTAGTGGAACTCAATTTTGCTTAAGGTTGTGGAGTAAATTATTTCATTTGTTTCTAACATTCACCATTAGACCACGATAAACCTTAAAACCTCTGATTTTTCTCCATAATTTTCAGAATAACATTATATGTTTAGAATTGAGTAGTATGAAATTGAAGTAATCAAGGCAAGCTTGTATAGTACTTTTACTTTTCCGAATCACGTGAAATGAGAATTCAAGAGTTAAAATCAAAACTCGCTCAAATTTGAGCGCTGTTTGAACGCAAATTTTTTTTTTTCATGTAGAACAATTTTGTTATCCGAGTCACTTGATTTTCTTTTGTTATGCATGGGTCTTTTTTTTTTTTAATGCGGGGACCCATTATTGTACCAGCATTTTCAGTTAAGTTACGTATAATCACAAAAGGTTGTTATTCCCACTTCCTCACAATAAAGTCGAACACTTATATCATTGGTAAACATTTTTTTTTATTTTTTTTCTTTTGAATATCATGTTTCTCACAAAAAGAAATACAAAATAAAAACCTCTTTGGTGGTTGAAATGGCAACTGGTTTGCTGCATTTCTAATTTCCTGATTTTTTATGTATGTTTTTTTTAAATGGGAAATCCTCTTTAGATTTTTTTCCTGTTGGATGCCTCATTAAAGTGGGCACTGAGCTTGCTCTCTTCCTTTTTCCCAGACATTGGAGCTAGCCAAGACAAGTGCAGTGAGATCTTCGCTGGACCCGAACCCTTCAGTGAGCCTTGCTGCTCCGCCATCCGTGACTTCACCACTGAATTGAACGCCGATTCCAGTGTCCTGGGTTACTTCACGTACCACTCCTACTCACAACTCTGGATGAGCCCTTGGGGATGGACTGATGCCCTGCCCCCAACCTACGACGAGCTGGTAAGGATATCATACTAATTTAGAAAAAGAAAAAAGTCAAGTCTAATATACGTACTCTGTTATCAACCAAAATTGAGTTACCGCGTGCTTTTAAAAGTTGGAACGGGTTGCATGTATACGGACATTAAGTTTTCTTTGAAGTTATTTGTACATTACAGGATTTTTTTCACGAAACCGTCGATCATGCAATTTTTGCGTAGCAGCAACGACAGCTAGCTTATCAACGTGTAAACTATTGTAGATATACAGTACTTTATAATATTCGCACTACTGTACTCATATACAGTACTGATGAAGCATGATGTATCGTTGACGCTTAATAATTCAAACCTCCCTAAATAAGTCGAATACCTCATCCCTCTTTTTCAAATCTCTGTCTTAATTACCTTTCCTCAAACCTCCATAACTCGAATTTTATGGAGTCTATAGGCTATGATTTCATTGATAGCTCAGGAAAGAGAAAAATGTATAGATTTGTTTTGAAAGGAAATGATGACACTTATTGGGCGAATGAACCCATGCCTCCAAGTTCAGTATAACCTGCAAACTCATTCAGGAATCAAATCATGGCCCAGAATATCACCAATTACAATTTCCTGTACAGTAATTCTTATTTAATTCACCTTAGAAAAATCTTTGTCCCTATATATAGATCGATATTTTTTCTGGTCAATTGAAGCTCGATTTAAAGAGGTTCGACTGCGCCTGTGTACGATAGTTTGATGCACCCATTGTAAAGATACCGCATCAGTATTAATCAATTTCATCTCATTTCTTGTGATGGAACCGATGTATCATTGTTTGACCTGATGAACTTTTTTGCTGACGTTACTCTATATTTTCAACAACAAAAAAGACACGCGTTGGAGTCGCCGGCATGAACGCTTTGACGGCAGTGCACGGAACCGATTACGAGTTCGGTACCTCCACCAACGTCATCTGTGAGTTTTCGAAACTTGAAAAGAAAAAAATTTACAATTCCACAAACAGAACTGTATATCGACCAAATCATTCAAAGTAATTGGCATTCTATCTAATGTATATCTCCAAAGTAGTGTACAGTCCGTGCAAGGTATCTCGAAGGTTAAAAATCTCTGAATTCTGCAATATGCCCATACGCTAAAAACTCTGCCAGAGTGAAATTTGCAAAACATTAAAAAAATTGTCAAACAGGGCTGATATTTTTTGTGCCAAAGAATATATGTTTTCCCTAAACAAATATTTTTTTTCAGCTCGATTAGACGCCATTTTCATTTCCATTCCGAGAACTTTTGTTGGAACCCTCGTAAGTCCTCTGATAAATGACATTGGAGGCAGAAAATACTGTACATGCTTTCTGACAATTCAGTAATCCTTAACGTTGTTTCTCAACCTTCACGCTGGAAAAAGAATGCTTACTTTAATATTTAAATGATCAAAGCACGAGTCATACATTCAAACTACATAGGCTGAAATTTTGTGTGTGTCCCATTTACGGTGGAAATTATTCCTCAAAAAACGTTTCTTTGCAAAAAAAATCAGATGCTGCTTCAGGAGCTTCTGATGATTGGGCCTACGGGGTTCTCGGAGTTCCATTCGTTTACACCATCGAGCTGAGAGACCAGGGCCGTTATGGGTTCGTCCTGCCTGCCGACCAAATCATCCCCTCGGGCGAAGAGACCTTCGCTGGCTTGAAGGTCGCCGCCTTGGAGATGTTGGTTCTTCCCGCCGGGAAGCACTAAACAAGAACCGACGACGTCACTCGGTCTTATAAATGGCATCTTGTGCTCACACATTTCCCTTATTGTTCAAAATTATGTCCGTCTTATTTATGTCTGCTGTCAATGAATTTCATTGGTCGATGTTCTGCAATAGAAATGAAGATGACGTCTTCCAGCGACGACGTTAAATCTATAAAAAAAAAACAACCACGGAATTCGTATTTATTCACTTATTCAATTAAACAATGGAGATGTTTGAACTGTCGGAACTGTTGTCCAACTTGCTGCGAAGTTGATGTCATCTGCCGGATTGAATTTTGTTCAACTTGGAAATCCTGAAAATTGTAATTTCTGCTATACTCTTGCAGACGAAACATGCCAATATAGCGTTTCCCAACGGCTCAGAATGAATTTACTCCCGAAACTCTGCACATTTTCTGATTTTCTTGTCTCGAGCGAAGGACTAGCTTTACGAAAAATTAGTTTTCAGCCCGCAAATATATAAGTCAATTTACAGGTTCGAATTTGTATCCATTTTGTGATATCTGGCAGTTGAATTCATCATATTTCTCTCCTCGTCGTATATCGTTCAGAAAAAAGAAAGATGTGCAAAAACTGGTGTCGAAATGCTGCACGAAACCCGTCATGAAGTCCCGTAAATCTGATTTCTCAAAATTAAACGACGGAAACTTGATTTGCGTAGCTGTTTCCCTAAAGATGAAAAATCAGAATCAGAAATATTCAACGACTTCTCTTTTATTTACTTTCGCACATTGTCTTCAATTGTCCCTGAGATCTCATAATTGAAAAATCATCAATGCTAACAATAACCTCATAATCAAACTGATCGAAACATCGTCAGATACGTCGATTCATCTTCGATGCGAAGAATTTCACGACTTTTGAATCTTTCACCCTTTTTAAAGAGTGATCCTGTCTAAATTCGAGCACTGAGTCAATTTCTTCGGTATTTATGAAGCAAGTATGAAATGCAAATTTAGGAATAAATATTCATTCAACAGTATACAATAATTACATATTTATATGCACCTTGGTCGTTGCACTTTTTCCCGTAGATAATTAAGCGTTGGTCCGTAAAATAGATAATGTTCTGTTGATGGACCACAATACGTGAAAACTTGTTTGCATATATGGTTCAACTGATTCAATACACAAGGCTACACTGTGAAATGGGTTCTACTGTATATTCTTCTTGGGATCAGGAGGACAAACAAATAGTAATTTAAATGCAATTTATTCAATACCATACATATAGGTTGGGTAGTTTTTGGAGATTTTCTCAACTTTAAAATTAAGCAACTTTGCCCAAATAAGGGAAATAACTAAGTTTACAAACAATTACGCAGTTTGCAGGCGTTATAGCATCAATGGTGAATTTTCAGGGTAGATGCACCAGAAATAAAAAAATCTGTACTGCTGGCATTTTTTCAAGAGACTCTCTTCATTATCTGCTCAACACTCAACAAGAAAACTTCAATCAGATTAAAACCTGCACACAGTTTTGGAATAAAAAACAAGATTTCAGTCAGGAAAATAAACACAAAAACGAATGAACCAAAAAGCTCCACACATAGCATAATCACAATTTGCAAAATACCAAAGCTCATATCTCCACAAATAATGAAGATAAAAATTGTTTGACCTCTCAGTAGTTAGATTGCAATGTTTTCTATATTTTTCTTTCAACATAAAATTTGATAGGATGCGCAGTTCTTCTTTAAAACACATTTCTGCAAATCGCAAAGCTTTGAAATGCACATGGCACAACCAAACCCTTTCTTTGCACAACCTCCTCATGGTGTAAATAAAAAAATAATAAATGAGGCTATACCTTCTTTTCCAAAGTAATCTTAACTTTTGTGGGACATCCTGTGCTTTTGAAATAAAAGAGACACAAGATTAAGAAACATTCAATTTGTTTCAATTCCTTGAGCCAGCTAAACAGAAGACTAAATTGAAGTAAAGAAACCTTCTAAATTTATCTTCTGCAACAGTTAGTATATTTAAAACCTATAGGTTATTATTGACGCTGCATTGATGGACTTTGTCCTGAAATAGCAATCTTACTCTTTCCCAAAATTGGATCATATTTACAACTTTAAAAATGTATTCCCCTTAAAAAATTGGGATACAGCTGAACTTTTTTTTTATCTCGAAGCATTTCTCATGCATTTTAATTTTTCCTCATTGCGGCAGAGGTTCTCATTACAGTACTGTATACCCATAATTTTTAAATCTCTCTTCCATTCATGCATATTCATTGTTCGAATTCAAAGAAGAGGTTAAAGTTTCGCATACCAATTATATAGTACAGTATGCTGTGTGAGAAATGTTACACGTGCTTGTCGTCTTCACCGTGGGCCAGATAATGACTTAGTTTGGGGTTTAACACCGATAAACCTCCTGCTTTTCAAAGTAACTTTTCATTTGAGGCGAACACTTGATTAATTAGTTCAGTGATGATGAAATAAACGAAAAAATATTTCATACCGTTCAGAACAACTCGAACAACAGCATGTTATGATGACGTGAAGGATCTCGTTGATTTTTCATATTATTCTTACCTGTCCGTGTCATTTCTCAAAAGTTCATTCAAATATGTGACGTAACGGATGCAAAACTTGAAAGTTTCGTTCTCTTTTTACATTTTTAGGCTTTCTGGGCATATATTTATTTGTGTTTTTTTGGATCGAGAAATTACATGTCATTTGACTCTACAGTGAAATGCAGGTTGTAGCACTGATTGGGTTTCTCAGTATCATCAGTGTTCAGTTTTCCGGATTCAGTGATGGTTATTCCTTTGAGGAAACAGCACACCCGTCAATAAAAAGTAAGTCTCACCTACAGCTTCGGAACTACAGTATTAAGAATTCATAATTTTTTTTTGTCCGCGGCAAAACATATGTTTTTTTCCCGAAGCACATCGAGAAACAGAAAGAATCATTCGAGATTTTTCGCTCAGAAACTAGAAAATGGAAGAAGTATCCGATTTCTATGCGAAATAAAATGCCAAGAGGTAAACTAACGCGAATATATTGAAAAATACTGTCTGTATACATGTAATCAATTACAGTATATTCTTTCAGCTTTGTTGTAACATACTGTAGCAATCTGGAATTATTCTTCTGCTCTCTTGATGAAAAAAGAACTGATTCCAATCTGTAAACTTGTATTACGTTATTACCAATTATAATTTTTAAATTCTTTTTTTGTTTCTCTGAGCAAAATATGCCTCTTGTAAGAAATTCAGTATTACAACTGATGTATATTATATTCGGGACAATTTTTGAGAAACTTTCAATTGTATTCACCCTGTCGCAAGGATATTTATCCTAAAGTGGAACACCCAAAAGGTTTTCTTTGAATACTCATAAAAAACAATAATTTGTTCATTAAAAAGGAAATAAATGCATCTTTTCTTTGGATGTAAAAAAACGGGAATAAATACAATATGTCCCAGAAACCTTTTTTGCTAAATTTGTGCACACAAACTGTTTTCTTAGAATGCACTTCACAGAATGCAGAGCTGCACCATATAGAGAACAGAGCTGCACTATTTCTCAGCGCCAGTCCTGTAAATTTCCCCCCCCCACACATTTTGAGGATTTTAGCCTCCTCAAAAACACCCATTTCTGCACAGCAATTTGATATGGGTGATGGAATGTGTACTTCATACATGCCCAAGCTGCAGAAAATCCCCCATTAAAAAAAAAATCACCCATATCCAACCATCCATGAAATACGGGTGATTTGTGGGTGATTTTTGCCTGTGTCTTCATGCCTGGCTAGAAAATGGCTGAGGAAAAATCAACAGCATTCCAAAAAATCACCCATATCCAACCATCCATGAAATACAGGTGATTTATGGGTGATGTACGCTTGTGATTTTACGCCTGGCTAAAAAATGGCTGATTATTTGCTGGGACTTCTTCAGTACTTGCATGTACAGTACTTTATTAACAACCCAATTATAAACCTTTTTTTGTGTCCATGTTTAGCAATATGAGATGGAGATATTGTATGAATTGATGCTTATGTAGAATTGGTTTAAAACCCTTTTTATCATTTTGAAAATTCTTTCTTGTTTTATTCAGCCGCGAAACACACCCGATTGAACCCTTCCTTGAACGTGCTCGTTTCCGACGATGGGAGCTACCAAGTGACCGTTAATGACATTCCTTGGCTCCAGGGCGTTCCGCCGTTTTTCAAGGCCAACCAACAGGAATTCTCTCCTTCCGACGGAACCCTGATCCTCGTCACTCCGTACCCATTCGGAACAACGACTGGGATCGACGCCTTGGGCTCTTTCTCGTCAACGTCATGGGCCTATGAGACCAGGGATGACTCAGGAGGTGTCGGATTGCGTTTCGAGTGTTCAGTGCAGGTCTACGACGACGTCAATGCTGTCGTTTTTACGCAAACATTGCCGGATGGTGCCCCGGACTGCGGGGATCCGGAAGCTGTCGACGGAGTGTCGACAGGGTTTCCTGGGTTCTCCGTCGGTTGGGGTTNTCACAAGAGTGGAATAAGTCTTGGAGATTATTATCTCCAAGGCTATTCCTGGTGTGGTTCAGGTTTCCAAGGAATCTTGTTTTCTTAAAGATAAAAATGATAAAATAATAATTTATTAATACTTACTCCTTTTTCAGGAATACTTTTTCCGAGTTACGAGGACGACGCAGCGTTTCGTACGCCACGTCGTACTCTCGTACATTCTGATGTTGTGCCGACTCGGGCGGCACCTATTTTTCCCGAGTTAATCGGGGCATGCGCGGGCGACATCTAGTCGACCCGTGACATCTCATGCATTTTAATTTTTCCCCATTGCGGCAGAGGTTCTCATTACAGTACTGGATACCCATAATTTTTAAATCTCTCTTCCATTCATGCATATTCATTGTTCAAATTTAAAGAAGAGGTTATAAGTTCGCATAACAATTATATAGTACAGTATGCTGTGTGAGAAATGTTACACGTGCTTGTCGTCTTCACCGTGGGCCAGATAATGACTTAGTTTGGGGTTTAACACCGATAAACCTCCTGCTTTTCAAAGTAACTTTTCATTTGAGGCGAACACTTGATTAATTAGTTCAGTGATGATGAAATAAACGAAAAAATATTTCATACCGTTCAGAACAACTCAAACAACAGCATGTTATGATGAAGTGAAGGATTTCGTTGATTTTTCATATTATTCTTACGTGTCTGTGTCATTTCTCAAAAGTTCATTCAAATATGTGACGTAACGGATGCAAAACTTGAAAGTTTCGTTCTATTTTTACATTTTTAGGCTTTCTGGGCATATATTTATTTGTGTTTTTTTGGATCGAGAAATTACATGTCATTTGACTCTACAGTGAAATGCAGGTTGTAGCACTGATTGGGTTTCTCAGTATCATCATCAGTGTTCAGTTTTGCGGATTCAGTGATGGTTATTCCTTTGAGGAAACTGCGCATCCGTCAATAAAAAGTAAGTCTCACCTTCAGCTTCAGAACTATTAAAAATTAATATAATTTTTTTGTGTCAGCGGCAAAACATAATTTTATTTCCGAAGCAAATCAAGAAACAGCAACGATCATTCGAGATTTTTCGCTCAGAAACTAGAAAATGGAAGGAGTATCCAATTTCCATGCGAAATAAAATGCCAAGATGTAAACTAACGCGAATATATTGAAAAATACTGTCTGTATGCTCAATGACAGTACTGTATATTCTTTCAGCTTTTTTGTAACCTACTGTAGTAATCTGGAATTATTCTTCAGCTCTCTTGATGAAAAAAGAACTGATTCCGATCTGTAAACTTGTATTATTGCATTATTACCAATTTTTTTTTTTCAAATTATTTTTTTGCTGCTCTGAGCAAAATATGGCTCTTGTAAGCTATTGAGTGTTACAACTGAGGTATATTATGCTCGAGACAATTTTTGAGACACTCAATTGTGTTCACCCTGTCGCAAAAATATGTCTCCTAAAGTGGGACACCCAAAAGGGTTTCTTCAAATGCTCATAAAAAACAATAATTCATTGTTCATTGAAAAAGGAAATAAATGCATCTTTTCTTTGGATGTAAAAAAACGGAAATAAATACAATATGTCCCAGAAACCTTTTTTGCTAAATTTGTGCAGACAAACTGTTTTCTTAGAATGCACTTCACAGAATGCAGAGCTGCACCATATAGAGAACAGAGCTGCACTATTTCTCAGCGCCAGTCCTGTAAATTTTTCCCCAACACATTTTGAGGATTTTAGCGTCCTCAAAAACACCCATTTCTGCACAGCCATTTGATATAGGTGATGGAATGTGTAGTTCATAAATGCCCCAGCTGCAGAAAATCCCCCATTTTCAAAAAAATCACCCATATCCAACCATCCATGAAATACGGGTGATTTGTGGGTGATTTTTGCCTGTGTCTTCATGCCTGGCTAGAAAATGGCTGAGGAAAAATCAACAGCATTCCAAAAAATCACCCATATCCAACCATCCATGAAATACAGGTGATTTATGGGTGATGTACGCTTGTGATTTTACGCCTGGCTAAAAAATGGCTGATTATTTGCTGGGACTTCTTCAGTACTTGCATGTACAGTACTTTATTGACAACCCAATTATAAACCCTTTTTTGTGTCCATGTTTAGCAATATGAGATGGAGATATTGTATGAATTGATGCTTATGTAGAATTGGTTTAAAACCCTTTTTATCATTTTGAAAATTCTTTCTTGTTTTATTCAGCCGCGAAACACACCCGATTGAACCCTTCCTTGAACGTGCTCGTTTCCGACGATGGGAGCTACCAAGTGACCGTTAATGACATTCCTTGGCTCCAGGGCGTTCCGCCGTTTTTCAAGGCCAACCAACAGGAATTCTCTCCTTCCGACGGAACCCTGATCCTCGTCACTCCGTACCCATTCGGAACAACGACTGGGATCGACGCCTTGGGCTCTTTCTCGTCAACGTCATGGGCCTATGAGACCAGGGATGACTCAGGAGGTGTCGGATTGCGTTTCGAGTGTTCAGTGCAGGTCTACGACGACGTCAATGCTGTCGTTTTTACGCAAACATTGCCGGATGGTGCCCCGGACTGCGGGGATCCGGAAGCTGTCGACGGAGTGTCGACAGGGTTTCCTGGGTTCTCCGTCGGTTGGGGTTCAGATACAAACGAGCTAGGGTTTCTGTCCACCAGTGGGCACATGCTGGGACAGGTTAATTTGGATTTTGCGAGGTTAGAAAAAAAGCACTTTCGCATTGGTTTTGAAGAAGATGATTCCTATCTGTACCTGACAGAGAATTCGTTTCTGACGCATAAGGACGAGACTATATCCAGTTTATTTACCTATGCTCAAACTGGGCATTTTGAACATGAGTTCTATAATTTCATGGTCTCGAAAATTTTGATGTTTATAAATTTATAATCACGAGTGACGCGCATGATTCCGTCATAAATAAGCAAACTCATTTGAATATGAATTTAATTTAGAACTTCAATTTATCACATGCTAAAACTTTGCTTGAATACCGAATACAGATGCTCCGCTGATCAAACGAGCTGACTGAAACCTCAATGAAATCCAAAAGATAAAAATAATGTGGTTCTTCAAATTATTTGAAGAAGGTCAACTCAAAGAATTAATTATGTTGAAGGTTACCTCGCGGTATGGGATAATTCATGGCCCGGGTTGCACGGCATATTTTAGCACTCGATGAATAATAAAATTGTCTTTTTACTCTGAAGGTGGCAACCAAACACCTACAAATTGCACACTGGTGAAAAAGCGGGATTGACGGTGATATTTGACAAAGAAGGGAACAACAGCATCGTCATTTCACCCCTCGACAATTTTATGCGTGCCAACACTTACCGAAACGTTGAAGCTGATTCTATTCATTACGGTTCGTTAATTATCATCGTTAATTATTTTTTCGGGAATAATTTTCTGATGTCAATCGAATTTCCTAAAATAGCACTATAATACACTCTTAGTTCAGTGAGCTATTTTTGAAAATAACGAAGATATCAGAAAGAAACTTTCTCGGGGTTTTTCCCATCGAAAAACAGCACTGGAATCGACTGATTTCTAATTCCGACAAACAGCTTTTTTAACGAATGAAAATGTTTATTTTCACTATACTAAAATCAGGAAGAAGTCACAAAAATACAAAATCGTCGAGTTGGAAGAACGATGAGAAAACGATTCAACTTAATTTTTTTCTTGCCGAAATTGCGATTATTTTTGTCTGGAAAAATTTTACGGGGTTTTTGGGAAAGCTTGATGACGGCTGTTTTCATATATATGGCGTTGAGGAAACAAAAATCATTCACATGTATAGGTGTCATTGGAACGATCACGGACATCCCGCCACGATTTTCTCTCAGAACCCTGATCACCCATGACAACAATATTCGGAAATCAATCAAATCCTGGGGCCAAATGTTGCGGCAATTTCACGGAACCAGCGAAGACGCTCCTTTATTCGACAGCGATTTGTCCGTGACGCATTTGGGCTATTGGACGGACAACGGAGCCCACTATTATTATCAGACGGAAGAAGGGATGGATTACCATGACACCATGGTGGCAGTAGTTGATTACTACAGGCAAATTGGAGTACCCATCAGGTACTTGCAAATCGACTCCTGGTGGTACTTCAAGGGGCAGTACGACGGAGTGATGAACTGGACCGCGAAACCCGACGTGTTTCCCTACGGGTTGCAAACGCTGCACCGGGACATTGACATGCCGATTGTGGCCCACAACAGGTGGGATTTTATTGCTTTCCCGTGACGAAAATAATTTCTTTTTTTTTTTTAAATATATTTTACATACAAGTGCATATTTTCGACTGAAGATATAAATATTTGATGTAATTTCCCTAATATATTTACCACCATGAACTCGTCAAATAAGAGACAGAAATTCTGTCGAGAAAACGGAAGTTCCACTTGAGTTCTTCGTTGAAGTAAAGAAGTTTTCTCAAAGTCCTCATTTTAATGAGTAAAAGCGTCATTGAATGCACATTCAATTTACCTTTAAGAAACTGTAATAAAAAAAAATCATTCTCCAGCAACATATGCTGTCTTGGACAATTCAGTTTTTCAAAGTTAATGGAATTGCTACTGTGTTCTTTTCAATGTCTTTTCACATCTTCTTTTTCTTCATTCACAGAAAAAAGTACCCATGAAGAAAAAGGAAATCCGTTGCTTAAAAAAATCTCAACCCAGCAGTACAACTTATAATTTTTGAAATCACTCAGGAAAAAAGAAAACGTAAAGAAATAAAGTTATAAACGGTCCATGCTTTGGTACTTTCCATAATGAAAATTACAATTTTAATATTTCTTTTTTCTTCTGATTTTTGTAGCTTTACAGAAACCAAAAATGGGAACAAAATAGTTTTCAATCCGAAAATAAGCTTGTGTAAGTCCGCGACAGTTGCTTGGCATCGTCTCGGTTTTTGAGAAATCCCTATAAGATTTGGTTTCGATTGGCTGTTATGCTGGCAAAAATCCATGAAGGGGATTTTTTGCTCGATAATGAAGCTTAGATCATGTCTTTATCACCTTTCAAATTCGTAATTACCCGCAACACCGGTTCACACTGAAGAAATGGACAACAAATGAGCGCAGATAATTTTGAATCGGTGGGGTTGAATAAAGAATGAAAGTTTTTTGAAACTGATTCCCCGCAGATATTTTGCACCCGACACGTCGTACGCTCAGCAAAACGGAGGTGAATACGAATTCGTAGTAGAGTCAGGGAAATCTCTACCAAAGTCGAGACAATTTTGGGATGATTTGCTGCATGAAGCCCAGCAGTGGGGTCTCATTGTCTACGAACAAGACTGGCTCGACAGAACCTTCGAAGAAATGGAGTTGGTCATTTTCTTTTTGCTATAAAAGCGTTAATATTTTTCATTATTTATTTTTCAATTTGAAAATTGAGTGCAGGGCAATGCATACAGATTTCAACTTGTCCACCGACTGGATAACTCAGATGCACGCGGCAGCCGAAGAACTCGGACTAAACATACAGTATTGCATGGCATTGACTCGTTATGCTCTGGAAAGTGTTCGATTTCCTCGTGTGACTCAAATCAGAGTCAGCGAAGATTACGCAGCTGCTCTGGTAAGACGTATATTTCTGTAAAGATAAAATGTAAAGAAAAAAATGACGTTAAAAATAAGTCCGAATCGTTTTTCTTATGCTAATATATTCGATTTCATTCTATCTATTTCATTTGTATTTCACTTCTTCTCAACAATCTCCATGCGCACCACATTTAAGGTTATTTTTTGCTTTTTGAAAACGTGGTTTTTTAGATTAATTTTTTAATCTACTATAATTATTTTTTTTTTTTTTTTAATATATCCGGACAAACAGACAGACAAGAAAGTGAGTTCATAAAAACGTGGTAATAAGTCCGAATCGTTTTTCTTATGCTAATATATTCGACAACGCGGTTATATATATATATGCTCAAAGCTGAACTGGAAAATCGGAGTGACGTCGATGATCGCTGAAGCTTTGGGCAAATCTCCATTCAAGGACACATTCAGGACTGATCAAGTGGCGGTAGAAAAGATGTGTTCGGAACGCTCAACAGGTAATTCAAGTCCCGTTGAATTATTTATTTTTAAAAATGTTTTCAGGTTTTTTTCTGACAAGATGCGCTGAAGGGGAATTGGGAGCGTATCGTCGAAGACAGCCCCCAAAACATGATAATGCATATAAGAGAGCTACTACGAATGTAACTTTTGGTTAATGAATGAAATGTGATTTATGCATGTTGTGTCTTAATTAGTTTCTCTAATTCAGGTTATGTAAATTGTGCCGTCCTGGAATATCCAGTTGATCGAATTAATATTGGTGCACCAAATAAAATCATCTGACAGAATGAAACGAGAAAACATACGCTCCATTTAAATCGAGGAGCGTGGGCAAATATTCAAATTTTTTTTAGAGAAATGATTCCTTTAATTCATGAATACATTGCTTATTATAAATTAAAATCCCTGTGAGGAAAGTTTGAGTCAAATTTTCAAACCCTCGGTCGCACTGAAACCTACCTTGCAAACAATATGAAGATCATTCAACTTTGAGATCCTGCAGATGATTTGAAAAGGGAATGGTTTGTTTATCTATATACATGTTTTGATGCAAGAACTCCCTTTTTTGTCCAGCCATCAAATGGGGACAAAATTTATGAAAAAAAAACGTTTTCAAATTACTCGAACAAAGAAAATATTCAGACGATCCTTTCTGATGATCATCTATACATTGTCCCACTATCTGGCTGTTTAAAATTATTTTGGACAACTTGAAAAAAAAAGAAACACAGGACGGTACGCAGAAATGAATCAATTCGCAAGATTTTTTACTCGACACGAATTCTTATTTTGACAGGGATAACAGCGAAAGAAGCTTGTGTGAGGGCATTCCGTCCGTTTTTGCAATCAGCTATATCAAGTTTATCAGCTGGTCCCGTTGGGCCCGGGGACAAAATTGGCTCGGAAAACGCAATATTGCTTCTCAAAAGTTGTCGGTCTGACGGAAAACTGCTGAAACCCGATCGTCCTGCATCAGCAGTGAATGCGCAAATGTTGCGAGCAGCTTTCGGGGACCCAAATTTGGGCCCAAATGGAGAAGTCTGGTCAACTTCTACGACTTATAAAGAATCAGTACGTGAAAATCATTTTTTTGCAACGACAAGAAAACAATCTCTTTTAGAAATGCACTATATATAAGGTTTGGTTCTTAGTTTTTGTTAGATTTTTTTTCTCCTTTCCGAGTACATACAATTTTTCCGCTCACAAAAAACATAAATTCATAGGTATTGAAACAACCGTTTGAACCGTTTTTTAAAGTTTTTTTATTAACGCTGGTAACGAAAAACTGATTTGCAAAAGGGATTGAAAAATGGTTAAAACTTGTTCGATGAAAATAAAAAAGTTGATTCTCTTTGATACTGAGATGCCAATCGCTTCACGATGGACATTTTTAAACACAAGCAAAAAAAATTCCTTCGTAGCCTCGGAAATATATGATAAAATACGATTTATTCATCGACTTCATCATCGCTTTCATCAGGGAAACTTCATCAAACTTTTCGAAAATCGTCTTTCGGCAATATATTTCGCGTAATTCTCTGCCAATCGCCTTCATAACTTGGAAGCCTGCAAACAATTACATGATTATTCATTTCATTAATTTTCATTTTCGGCAGGATTTGGTTTTCGGTGCCATTTTGGTCGCAGATTTAAGGGAAGCATTCGTCCTTCCGTTCGGACAACAAGGAGCAGATGTTCTCGGTGTATTGCAGCGCGATTATTTTGCTTTCAGAGTAACTGAATCCCTAGAAACGACTGATTTTCAGATTCTGGCTGAAAGTGATGGCATCGCTTTAGAGCAAACTTCCAGCGCAAATTTCTCGTACGTATGGTGAGTACAGTTCTTTTTTATTCTCTCAGGAAATCCGCATAAAATCATCAGCAAGTTCCTACAAAAGAATACCAACTACAGTATATTCGGGTTGATGAAAGATTAGTGTTCCTCTCCAAAAATATTTAAATATCTTGCATAAGAATTACTGTGTATTGAATAAGAAAAAATCAGCGACAGTTAAGTTACAACAAGCAAGTGCTTTTTAAATTAGCGTTTAAAAAAGCACTTCATTTAGCAAACTATTCACTTAGCATATGAAAATCAAATTTAAAAATGCACTTGCTTGTTAATTGTAACTTAACTGTCGCTGATTTTTTCGTCAAAAGTCAAAGTACATTATTTTATAGAGCCTTAGACAGTCAAATAGCTTATCGCAGATAATAAAAAAATAGACAATACATTTTTAAGCTGGTATAGATTGGATGACGAGAAATATTGACCATTCCAGTATATATAGGGAAATTAGTGTTCATACGCAATTCATGGTGTCGATCAAACGTGAATCAAAATTCTAGACTTGAAATTTTGCAAATCGATTTTTCCTCGCCATTGCTGATACATATGTGGAAATATTTGATCGAATGCATCGCCAATGAAACTCACAGATGATCGAATTTTGTCTGGCTTTTCGTTTGATCGAAATAATCCATTCCTGTTCGAAGGCTAAACACGAAAATCCTGTCAACCGAATGAAACAAATGCGTGCAGAATGAGTACTTTGGTCAAGTTCCCCATAGAAAGTCCCATAACGAGTGACTTGAAACAATTTGAACGGCATGGATCTTTTACAGATCCCTCGAAATTTTATTCATTCACTTGCGAATGTATTACGGAATAAATAAAATGATCAAAATCCAAAATCAGAAAAAAAAACACCTGAAAAGAATGATCGGTGCTCAATGAATTTTCAACAATAAATGTTTTGTCCACTTGAGAAACGATACAAGCAAGCACATATAAAAACTGTGATCCACCCCCCCCCCCTCCGTTTGGAAAAAGATTCCTCATCTAATCGTCCGAAGGAAAGTCCATCATCCGAGTCAAAAGTCTCTAACACTTCGAGTCCATCGTACAAAAAATACATTGGACGAGGCTAAAAAATAAAATAAAAATAACCGAGCCATTACTCGATTTCGAATGCAGGTACACAAGCCCGGTCATCAACTTCCAAGATGTTGAAACAGCAATAATTGTTCTTGGAGAAATTTCGAAATGGATTCCGATGTCAAAGCAACGAACCACAGGGATTGACATTCGCCCAGTTTCCGTCACTATTCACCTCATTGGGGCTGAAGGAGAATCCATTGAATATTATTACGCTAATGTCGGATCTGACCTCGGATTTTCTATTCACTATGTCACCTGTCAATTTGGGGCTTCTGGAAGAGCCGTGTTGTCTTTGCCCGAAGCTATTTGTGAAACAAACTGAAACTGGAGAAAATAAAATGCGTATACCGCGGTCTAGAAGCAATCCAAATGCCCCGAAAATTGTCATGGAAAATCATTCCATTCTAAAAATTTCAACTGTCAATTAAAAAAATTGAGACCATAAATCTCTGGCAGTTGTAAAATTTTTATTTTGAGAATTTGCGATTAATTCCCCTGTAAAAAATCATCCAGGCCTAAATTTCCGTTAAAAAAAATGGTTATTATCATACAAGAGAAAAATAAATGAAAAATTTCAAAATGCATTTCAGAAGGAAATGCGTGACTAATTGGGCAAATTAACTCTTGAATCCACATTCAGCATTGTCAGTCAAATCATTCACAAGGCAGTTGAAGCCCAGAAGATTAAAAATTTCAGTTCTTGATTTTTCTTTAGCAAAAATGTTAGTTTCCCCAAGTCAAAAACTGCACAAGTCAATTTTGTGCTGGCCCCTTGGAGTTTGACTAGAATTGGTTGAACTGCAGACATTGTTCAAGGCGTCTGGACTGGCTCTTTATGATGGTTTATATCAGCATTCCACAACCATTTTTCAGCCCACAGACTAACAAATTTCCATAAATTCTTTTGCGGACTGGGAAATGTCCCAAAATTGTTCTGCAAACCAGCAAATTTTTATAAAATGTTTGCAGACTCAAAAGAGTTTTGCTTGAAAGACTTTATGTGAGGTATTTAAAAATTTCTATTTTTTGAAAAATTAAGCCGAGAACTGGCAAATCAGCTACAGTAGAACAGTATCAAAAATTAGAAAAATGGATGTGAAGAAATGTTTCTCAGAATAATGATAAATTGGAATATTTTATTTCAGTAGGTGAACATTTTTCTGAAGTGTTATCAGGAGAAACCCCAACTTATAGTTTTCATTAGATAATTTCAACTGCTATTGTCATCTTTCAGAAATTGCAGATGATGATAACAGACTTCCCTATACTACTTTTGATGAATTTATTATGCTGAAGAAAAGTTCCCACAGGCTGAAAAAAAAACACTTCTGCAGACCAACGCCAGTCTGCAGACCATGGGTTGAAAACACTGTTTTTCATAATACTGTACAACGTAAATTGCTGTCAAAAGACATCATTGAAATTTTGAAAACTTCCAGATTTGAGGACCTAGAATTCAGAAGAAGTTTCATGTATTGTTATTTTTTAGTTGCTAGAAACAGCAGGAAAGCCCTAATTCAAGGAACTCGGTGTCTTCAACTGTCGCATCACGCATCGGTATGGAAGTCCCAAATGCAAGTCCACACTAGAGGATGACAAACAAATACCGCGATTAAAAATAATTTCACATGAACGTGGCACTTACTTGGGAAACACTTCTTGCAGGGAATGCTTATAAAACCACATCAGGAGATCGTCAATGTTGGCAAAACCGATGTCTTCGGACAGACCTAATGCGACTCTCGTCTTTCTTGCATCATCTTCGTGTACGATGGCAACAATTTTCAAATACCTAATTTTTCCGCTGTCCCTATGAGAAAATAAAAACGTCAAGCTCCTGTGAATAAAATACTGTTTTACCTCAAATTCACTGACTTGATGCATAAAACAAAAGACGATGGGGAGGAACCCTTGCGAACAAGAAAGGTTCCTACAGGAACCCGAACCTCAGTCAGCCTTGGATTCACTTTTTCTCGCGATGACAATTGATTCTCAAACCTACAATAAGAATTTATAATACGTACATTTTGAGAACAAATAGTCAATTTCTTTGGTGTGAGTCTGCAAAAATTTTATGAAACAATGCCAGTCCAAAAAAAAAATGTTCTTGGAAATTTGCTGGTCTGCAAAAATTTTTTTATGGAAATGTGTCAGTTCTTGGGCCCAAAAAGGCTGGGGAACACTGATAGTTAGAATTATGTATAATGCCATTATATTGTTCAGATTTAATAAGTGCTACTGCTGATGAAAAAAAATGGACAACTAGAGAAAAAGATTGTAAATGCTGGGGGGCAGAATGATTAGACAAACTATAGAACATTCTAGAATATTCGTATTGGACTGCTGTTAGATGGCTGCCATGTTAATTGCATACTTGAGATTTTAGTCTGTGCCTTTCAAGAGTTTCAACCAATCAGGTGCAGCGGCATAGATTCTCAGGGAAAAGAATTCCCAGACAGTCTGTCTCCAAAATTTAAGCCAGTAACATCAATCTGTGATTCTCTGTGAAATTACCTGTATTTTGTGAAACCTGTTTAATCTTTTGGGGAAAAGTGAAATAAATTTATCATTCATCTTTTTGGGATTTCCTAATGAAATCCCCAGCTGCTCATCCCCACAGCTGAATAGTGTGTTTCATTTTTAGAATCAATCCTTTTCTTGCCTTCTTTTGTAATCTTCCTATAATAATTTCTGCGTAAAAATACTTTATATGTATTTTAAATATACATAGTTAAACATCAGAAAAGTCTTGAAAACCCAAATTTCCAAGCGTTATATGTCATGCGCAGCTATTTCCGTAAATAGACTAAACTCGTGCTAAAATATGAAAATTTAATTTTTGTCTCTTCTGTGCTTTACTCACCAAATCTTGCTGTTGACATCCTTCATGAAATATGATGGGATGTTACTGGAGATGTTTACTTTGGAGGAAAATGATTTCATTTCGCATCTCCTCGCAGCACATGTGGAATAGCACTGGTACGTGAATTTTCTTTTGCACAAAACACATAGCATTCCTTTTCCAATCATACCAGACATGTATTTTGTACAATAGTCGCAGACAACCCCAGTGCCGAAATTAATCTCAAAAAGGCAGTGGTCCGAAAATTTGCGAAAAGACGGCTTCAAAGCAGCATTCAGAAAGTCTCTGCAAAGAAGAATTAAGGCACACATAATTCAGTCAGAAAACTCAGAACACAGCATTATTTCAGAAGAATACTTCGGGCCATCAAATCATGAAATAAATAAAGGTTGATTAAAAAGTTGACAGGTTTTTGGAATACAGCAAGTTATATACAAGGGTTGTCCCACTGCTACACGGCCTTCAAATTTCCGACGTCAATGACAATTTTGTCCAAAATTTCCCTTCGAACGTTGTAAGCACTTTTTATTTAAAAACATATTTCAAGACATTTTTTCGACACTCGGCAAAATGAAAATTGAAAACTTTTCAATGACAGCCAGAGTTTACACAATTTCACAGCATACTAAAAATTTATCATGAGAGTTTAAAAGTTGAATTTTTTGTTTTTGTGTAGAATGTCACGTTTCTCGCATCTTTTGAGAATTTTTAAAATGTTTCAATTTTTAATGACGTCAGAAATTCCAAGGACACGTAGCAGTGGGACAATCCAATCACCACTGTTTATGTACCCAGTTATTGTTTGAGGTTAACATACAAGAGCAAAATGATTTAAATTGAACATCATTCAATCACCTGCAGCTTCTGGGAAATATTTTCAATGCCCCTTAAACCTTGTCAGCAATATCGTGTGATTATGCAAGTGTTTTTTCTAGATTGCAGTAGTAGTTTTTATAAATTTAAAAAATCAACCACCACAGTATAATCTCACAAAGCCATGATTTGAAAAAAAAACGAAGAATGTGCAGCACACACATACTTCAGGATAGGTCACAGTAGTTTTGAAAAAAAAATTCGCACTTGCTTGAAGACTAAATTTTCCATGCAGTTAAATTGTAAAAAATTGAGAAAACAAGTTTCAACTTTTTTCATGTGCACTGCTCAATTTTAATGTTTTTTCTCACCGTCCCACTTGAATTGGAACCTGGAAATATTGAAGAAATACTACAGTATTTCAAACGCATGGAAGGATATTTTGCAGACGTAAATCGATATATGCAATAGTTTAATAATACTTTTCAAATGTTAACGTTTTCTCATTCTCACATGCCACGTTGAACCCCGTTTATCCAGTTATCTCGAGAAATTGACGATTCGGCCATTAGGACAGTCGTTTCTCTCGTCCAAAAATCGGTGATCTCCCAATGGGTTGAATTGTCTTCACACACATTGACAAACGATCGCTCCAACGGAATAACCGTGGTGCGGATATTTTGAGCCTTCGAACTTTCGACGAGCAGTAGGGAATTTTCCGTGACAAATCCAGTTTTAGACCTTTACAAAAAGTTGAAAAATTTTATCGAAAAAATCAAATAACCCCAGCAGCAGCAGCGCAGCAGTTTTCTTTGACTTACTTCACATGCTTTCTTATTGTTCTTGTCGGTTGGCTAATAGTGTCCTTGTACAACAAGCGGAATTTGATGCCTTCAGTATCGCCTACGCAAGTTTTCGAAGAAGTGATGATCTCCTGAAAAGAAAAATAGAGAATGATCATGTGTAAAAATCATAAATAGCTCAGCAATAAAAAAAAAAACAATACCTTCAATATTCTTCCTGCACGAATCTCTTCGCTTTCGCCTTTTACTTCGTTCAAGTAGTTGTTAAGAGCAATCACTTGATTGTAAGCATCCCTGAAATGTGCGTGATCGTCATGGCTCTGAAGAGAATGTTTAAGCATTTAAAAAAAATAAATAAATGACGGATTCCAGCAGCAAAAAATATAAATAAATAAGGACTCGCCTTGCCAAAAATGTGGAGGATCCTTTCGAACATTCCGTGCATTTTAAGGAACCGAAGGATCGGAACACTGACTCGAAGATCCAGGGAACAATTTTCATCCTTTGCTTCAACCTCGCATTTCTATGAATTCATGAAACAATATTTTTTTAGCTATGTGTGCCTTTACACTTTCAATCCCACAGAAAAAAAATGAAAATTCCCCCCAAAAAGAAATAACTATTTGCAAATGCAAGGATCCTCTATATCTCTGAGGGATTTTCGAAAAGCTGTGCCAGCATGCCCTTATATGAATGAATGAACAGAACACTTTATTTGCCGCTTTTCAGCGTTCACAAAGTACAATCAAGATTTCCACATCCAAACCCCCTCCCCACCCAACCCAAATCCCATCAAAGACATTTAATCACTTCAAAGCAGGAAACAAAGAACAAATTGATGACAAAAATAAAAGAAAATGCAATCCACAAAATACAACTGGACATCTGATATGTATATGCATGCACCCACTCATCTCCTGACATTGAAAACAAAATAGCAGTAAAAGTTTATTTAAAGCACAAGGTCTTCAGCTTGTTTCTGTATGAGGTTTAGTTGAATGAACAAATTACAGANTTCTGTATGAGGTTTAGTTGAATGAACAATTTAGAGAGAATCTTTGATGAAAAATCATATAAGGCCAACAGTTTATCTTGATCCTTTAAGATTTCAGAAAGTGTCTCTTCATTGAATTTCAGTACTTTTAAATCTTTCTTGAGCTGATTTCTATCTACTGTATATGAAATGCTGGACATAAGAAGAGAAGGTGCTCTGGTGATGCACAAACTAATAAATGTATGCTGCAGGAGTTACACCACTTAAACACCTTTGAGAGTTGGATGAATTTTTTACTAAAGTGCCATGAATTTGTCAATATAGCTACAGCATCATTTATTGAGGGGATGTTGGATGATGCGAATATTAATGGTTTAGTGCTGCCCTTATATAGATCCTGATTATTATTTTTGCATCATTCCTTTCGTGTTTTCCTTTTTAAATTTACCAACTGCTAATTGGTTCAAAAATTGCTCTCATATATATACATTGGAGCACTCACTGTGATGTACTGCTCAACTGCGGATCCAGGTTTGCGCAAAACTTCCAAAAGCTCAAATGCTCTGCATAAATTGTCGACGTAAGGAGCGTACGCAGCAGCAAACCGAGCTCTGCGCTTCAGGAACGCGTCTCCGAGACATCCCAAAGTCACTTCCATTTCCTGACCATTGCGTTTGGCCTCCGAACAAACCTCCCTCATTTCGTCAAGAAACTCGGAATGAATGCTGATAAAGTCCTCAATGCGGAAAAAGATTATTTTGTGGTGTTCTACGGTCAGACCCGCTTCGAGAGGCCTCATGAAATCGTCGCGGATTCTCTCCAAGGATTTTATATACGTTTCTTCTTTGTCGAGAAGCTCGTTCACCGCAGGATCAAGCATTGGTGTGAAGATGGAGGTCTATATATAAATAAACCCATTGTGCAGATGAGAAAGCTTCAAGAAAAATACAAACTTGAAAAAAAGTGTCCATTTTTCATCCATGTTTCCTAACTAGAAAACGCATTTTCCAAATTCAATTTGGTTTTTGGAGTCCCTCAAATAAATACTACCAATATTGGAGAGTTTCAATTGGTGTATAATTACAGGGATCTTGTCGCTCCCCAAAGCGACGCAGCTCCAGCATCCGGCTGAAACCAGCCCAGAAAACTTGTTGCATTTCCAAGTCCAGTGAGCCTTGAAAAAATCCTGTTTTTGCCAGACTCACTGAGCCTCACTCAAGGACAAGAAGAGGTCATCACTTCCTGGATTTTCGTAGAATCAACCAATCCTGAGACAGGAAGAAATCACCTCATTTCTTCCTGACCCAGTCCAAGCACCTGGCTTTAAAAGCTGTCATTCCTCTTTGAGAGCAGAAGAGAGAACCTAGAGTTAGAAGGGCCTTTTAACGTAAATTACATTAATCAATCATTATTCTGAGCTAACCAATCAATCGTACAATTTACTCTGCCATTCAAAATATTTCACCAACAGCCAAATGAGGATATGGGCAATGAGAATAAACTCCGCTGAAAAGAGTTTGAGTTCTTATTCAAAACTTGCATTCTGATGACTGAATTATTCAATTCCTTTGTCTGGGATCCAACAGACCCACGACAGATTTAACAAAAGTTCTAGGGACATAAATTGACAATTACACATGATTGAGCTGAAGAAGATTATTGCATTCAGAAAAAATATTCTTTGGCATAAGAAAATAAAATTCAGCCCTGCTTGACATATTTTTTGCAATTTTTATGTAAACAACATCTTGGCAGCTTTCTGCTCTTTACTCAAAACATGAAGTGCCTATCTCGCAGATTTCTTTTAGTGTACCCCAGCTTATTCTCCTTTTCATTACTTGAAATCGCATGAATTCCAAGGGTTGCCTCCTATCTTCCAGCAGGGTATTTTTGTCATTTTCATGAACAGCCGCCTTCACAACCGCCCCATTCTCATCCCAAGTGGCGGTTGTTGATGAAAATGGCCGAATTAATAAGCAATTAAGGGAGGCAGCCCTTGGATTTAATGCCATATCAATTTCAAGAATTCTGAACAGAAAAGTGGGGTGGAAAAAGTTCTGAGATCTCTGTATAAAGAGCAAAAAGCTCCCATCAGCGTGACTTTTGAAAAAAAGTTATATGAAAAATATATCAAACAGGGCTGCATTTTTTCTTTTGCTGACGAATGTTTTTTTTTTCGACAGTGATTTTTTAGAACTCAATCTTGTGCAGTTTCAATTTCTATTCCAAGAAAATTTGTTATACCCCGCATATTTTGCATAGGCAACTTCATAAGTGGGAATAAACTCCGAGACACAGCGCACAAGACTTTAAATTATAAAATGTGCTTGCTATATATAAATGTGCGGAAATATTGTACTGAACATTGAAAACTAGATTTATAGAAAACAATATGCAAACGGTACTTACATCAGATGGTCGTCGAACGGAGCATAAGGTGTCGTAAACTTCATTGATCTGAGAAAAAAATATTATTTAAAGATGGGATTATAAAAAGCAGTGATTTTTAAGCAGAGTGTAGTCTGGAGAAATTGGCAGATTTTTGTTTACTCCAGGCTCCAACTCCGTAATCAAGAATGTTGCGCAAGTTGAATTTAGTAGTAGTCGACAAGTACAGCCAAACAAATTCCAGAAACCCTAATTTGCATCAGATCATCAACAGGAGTAAACATGCATGTCTTCAGTGTTTCAATTTCCCTCTGAATCTTGTCGCCAACCCCTTTTAATGATGAGTCCACTTCACCGAAAATCATTTGAAAAATTACCCACCTGTGATTCAAAAGCATTGTACTTTTCCGAAACGTGAGTTTCTTTCATTTTCAAAATCGTGGGACCATGCTGAAATTGAATGGTAATTATTTAAAAAAAAAGGAAAATAATATTATTACCCTGCTCCAAGTCCCTGATTGTATGACACTTCGTTGTTTCAGAGAGGCGGGATCTTCGTACAATTCGTGGTCGATGCGTTGGAAAAGGGAGCCGACGGATGACCTAGCTTGGTCTTCGCCCTGGGAAACCGTCCAGTCAACGTCGTCCGAAACGTCAAAACTGCTAAACAAGGAAAAGCTGCATGATCCAGAAATTTCAGAGAAAAATAACTGTGATTCATTCGCTTACGTTTTTTCCTGGAGAAATCCTGAGAGTCCCTCATCCGTCGGGAAAGGTCTGCAAAAACATTCATCGCTCGTTTATACATGCAGATCTTGAATAATTTTAATGAATTTTTTTTAAACATACGCCAGCGTGTTCCGTTTGGCTTCTTCTGATTGAGAAATTTGCGTCAGAGTGACGATCACCTGGAAATTCACCTCGGTGTCAATAGTCGGAATGTCAACACTAAAACTTATTGACGAATAATTTATAGTACTCACTTTTCCAAAGTCGGTGAACTGCAGCAAATCCTCGGGGCGAAAAAGAACGCTTTCGTCCATCCCGAGGTGAGTTTTGCACGCATGCAAGAACAGGCGCAAATTGTGCTCGCACTCAGGCTGTATTCAATGAGAAATATGATGCACACATTTTAAATAAATATAGATTCAACTGTTCGCTTCAACTGTTCAATATAGATATATGTTTCCCATATATGGCTTTTCAGTAATCTGGAAAGAATATGAGTCAAAAACTGCAAAAACCATGTCCATCTCTATCAGACCATAAAAGAAAAAGAAAAACTTACGATTGCATTTTTCAGATCTGGCTTCTGACACAGAGAACTGGAAAAAAATTATGACACGTCTATACTGCTGACTATAAAATAGGTTTGGGTAAATTTGAAGTACTCTGTTACACCTCTGCATAGAACTGAATAAAAAGGCGTGTGGGGGATGTCGCAGACCGAAGCAACGTAGCTCCAGCATCCAGCTGAAACCGGACCCCAAAACTTGTTGGATTTCCGAGGCCAGTGAGCCTTGCAAAAATCCTGTTTTTGCAAGACTCACTGAGCCTCACTCAAGGACAAGAATAAATAACTGTGATTCATTCGCTTACGTTTTTTCCTGGAGAAATCCTGAGAGTCCCTCATCCGTCGGGAAAGGTCTGCAAAAACATTCATCGCTCGTTTATACATGCAGATCTTGAATAATTTTAATGCATTTTTTTTTAAACATACGCCAGCGTGTTCCGTTTGGCTTCTTCTGATTGAGAAATTTGCGTCAGAGCGACGATCACCTGGAAATTCACTTCGGTGTCAATAGTCGGAATATCAACGCTAAAACTTATTGACGAATAATTTATAGTACTCACTTTTCCGAAGTCGGTGAACTGCAGCAAATCCTCGGGGCGAAAAAGAACGCTTTCGTCCATCCCGAGGTGAGTTTTGCACGCATGCAAGAACAGGCGCAAATTGTGCTCGCACTCAGGCTGTATTCAATGAAAAATATGATGCACACATTTCAAATAAATATAGATTCAACTGTTCGCTTCAACTGTTCAATGCAGATAAATGTTTCCCATATATGGCTTTTCAGTAATCTGGAAAGAATATGAGTCAAACATTGCAAAAACCATGTCCATCTCTATCAGACCAAAAAAGAAGAAGAAAAACTTACGATTGAATTTTTCAGATCTGGCTTCTGACACAGAGAACTGGAAACAAATTATGACACGTCTATACTGCTGACTATAAAATAGGTTTGGGTAATTTTGAAGTACTCTGTTGCACCTCTGCATAGAACTGAATAAAAAGGCTTCTGGGTGAGGGGCTATTTTCCTTTTTCATTTTCCAATATGGGATTCAAATTCCGAGGGAAAGAAATTAACCAGTGGAAGACAGAAAAGAAGTTACATAATAACAGTTCAGATCTATGAATTGATCTCATTTCAACCAAATGAAACGTTAAAAACGCAATGGTAATCAGACACCCGTAATTGAATCTAAGAATTATAATAAGTTCTCTTTTTGAGACCACAATGAACAAAGGGTTTGGATCAAGATGAATCAAATACTGATTTAACCTTGGTTTTGTTATTTGCGCGTTTCTGAAAGAAGAATGAAACTTGTAATTAGTTTTCTCCCGATGACGAAACGCTTCAAATTCCGAATTCAAAATCAACAAATCTCCCCTTGTGCACTTTTCTGGGCTCAAAGAAATTCTGGTTTTGGAATTTTTTGTTGCCAAAATCTGTTCATCTATACAGTACTTTATTTTTGCCAATACAGTAGTTATTCTTGATTGGTTCATACACGTTTTTTAAACACTTTGAGTCTTTCATCGATTATACTTGAGCTGTCGATCCTCATCCTCTTTTGTGAAAGGATTTCTTGGTTTCATGACATCACAAAAGTGACATCGCGTATTGCTTATTTACATCATTAGGGCGAGTCAATTGTCAGAAATTCATTTCTTTATTTATGACTCTAAATACGTTTATCCGAGGGATTACACGTTTACACGCGGACTTGAAATGATCTAACGCCAGAGATTATTAAAAAAAAACACATTTTCTCTTGTTCACTATAGTTCCAAGAAGCTATAGGCAGACACCTCCTCAGTGTCATCACCACCCATTTGTAGACATTTCTCAGCCCTTTTGAACCATGTGTTGAAACAAACCTTATTGAAATGTTCAGTTTTTGAATTTTGATGCTTATCCCCCATGCAGAACAGCAGCAACACGCTGATCCGCGCAGAACCGTGTAACCCCTCGTATGCACAGTATATTGTATGCTTATTATACAGTACTTGAAGACGATTATTCCTCCGCAATTGGTGTGAGATAAGAAAACAGAACAGTAAGATTCCTGGACTCATCTCACGTCAGATAATTCCCCAGTTTTGATGTCCTCCGGGTGAATGGCATTCGGAAGAATGCGACGAATCAGCGCACATAGACTCGTCCCGTCACGTAAAGCGTCCGCCAAATTCAGCCATTCGGAACCGGACGTGAACCATCTTCTTCGCCAATTCTGCTCCAACGCCTCGGACCTAATGAGCCACTCTTCGCATTCCACGAAAAGACTCGCCATTCTCTCTTTTTTTCTTAAAAGCCTAATCATGATACAATTTAGCGGATTTAATTTTTTTAGTGCAGGAAAAGAATAAAAGCTTTATTGATCCGTTTCTGCTGAATAATGACGACGATGTGGCGCACAAGCCACAAAGACGAATTGAAATTCAGATAATTGACAAGATTAACAAATTAGCTCAAGAATAAAACACGTAATCCGCCGGGGAACACGGCAGGGAGCCCTTCGATAAGGACTCCAAAAGCAATAAGTTGAAAATATATTTCGAAATAAGAACAATGAAAGCAATTCAGCACTCTGACAAAATGAGATGCATACGCTACGCGGAGATTAGCAAGACTGTGTAGATTTGTAGAAATTCGATATGGACGTCGTAAGAATTCCACGCTGGAATTCCAACCTGGAATTCCAGCGTGTCGGACGTAATAGGAGGGCTAGCGCCCTCTGTCCCTAACA